AATTAATTTAGATGCGTTTTCGCTGTTTTATTATAATAAAAATATTGTTGAAATAATTTTATCATTAGCTTGCCATCCAAAGCAATGCTAACCTTTCAGTGTGCATTAATTAACGGGATATCACTTCGAAATGAATTGTTTATTTGAATCATATGTGCATGTTGAGCTTGCATTTACGCGTGTTTTCTCCCAAATAGTAAACATAGTAAACATTTGCATACACTTACCTGCACGTGCTGTAAATACTTTCGTAATGGACTTACCCATTAAAACGAACAGTTTGGAAATAATAATCGGTACTTATGAAGAATTTCTGTTGGGTTATAAAGTTGAATTAAAAGTGAGGATATACATTAAATTGTAATAAGTTTTAAATAAAGCTAAACTTTCATCGATTTGCAGGATAATAAACCGGTTTTAGTGCAATCGTTCGCTGACAAATCGCATTCGGGTTCAATTAGATGCGTTGCCGTCCATAAACAATGGATAGCTACTGGGGGTACAGATGATCGTATATTCATCTACGATATGACTAGCAGAAGCCAAACTCAGGTAAAAATTTAACAAATTATTATGAAAACGGTCCAAATCAATTATTTAAAAAAAAAAAAAAAAAAAAAACCAAATCCCATAACTATTGCAATGCCCGGAATCAATTCGCTTCATTGTTGAACACTTAAATGAAAACAATATGATTTAAACTATTTTTATATTCAACATATACATATGTGGAAATGTTAAATATTTGCATTTTGCAGATTTTACTATGTCACGAGGGCTCCATAAATGCCTTAACATTTACTCCAGACGGTACGCATTTGTTGTCCGTTGCTAACGATGGTCGCTTCATTGCTACACGTTCGAAAACATGGTCAACTGAAGCTTGTTGGAAAAAAGCACATAATCGTTTAGCGGCAACGCATGTCAGTTGTCATCCCAGCGGCAAATTGGCGTTAACATTAGGTTCTGACCTAATTTTATGCACTTGGAATTTAATAAAAGGTCGGATAGCTTATAAAACGAATTTAAAAAGTCGTAATTCTTTGGGTCGTCAACCCAATTGTTTAACTTGGTCAAATTCCGGTGATTATTTCACACTCAGCGGTCCGCGCGTAGTGGAAATTTGGTCTATTCAAACGGCTAATGTGTTACACAGTCATAGCACTAAGTCAAAACCTATTTGCATATGTTGGACGGACGCTGAAGCTTGTGTTGTGGGTTTGGAGGATGGTAAAATTATGTGGCTTTCACTAAGCAAGGACGAAAAGGTAAAATAATTGTACGTAAGAGGCTAGGAGCGCTTTATTGAAGTGTCTTTATCTTTTATTCTCAGGAATTTGAATTAATCGCTCATAATGCTCGAGTAAAAGCTATGCATTCATTTAAAGACTATTTAGTAACGTCATCAAGGTAAGTCTATGACGTAGTCTAAAAAATATTTCGTCTTAGTATTACATAGATGACTTCTAGCAATTCGAAGGGTCAACGCATAGTCATATCAATCGAATGACAATATAAATTTTCAGCTCATGGAATCTAAATATTTTCTAGACTACCTAATATAATACGTTTTGCATTTATATTTGAAATTTTCAAATGCTCTTTTTTCCTAAAGTTCTGGCGAAATAAAGCTATGGCAAATCAATGAAACAGGGAAACACTCAAAGGCAAAACTTAAAGAGCTTGCAGTTACCAATGTCGGATGTCGCCCCACTTGCATAAACATACTTGATCTTGAGCAATTTGGGAAAGATTACGGCATTGCTCGCAGCTGCGATGAAAGTAGTAAAGAAACTAAATTAGTGAATAATACAGAAAAACCGTTTCCAAGAGGTGTCGTCATCATAGAATGTGATGCAGACGATGAACAAGAAAGTAGTAAGCAAACTAAGGCGAGTAAAAAAAAGCCAAATGGCGACGATAAGGCTGAAAAGGAGGCTATCGAAGAGAAAGATAACGAAGAAGAAACTCTTGATTACGTCAAAAATGATGCAGATGTCGATAGAGATGGCGACGATACGACATATAGCGAAAGTAAATGGACATCTCTGCACGACGCATCGAAGAGCAATAGACACAAATCTAACAAATCGCAGAGTGAAAAGAGCGAGAACAAGAAAAAGAAAATTCACGGATACAATGAGCAAAATATTTTGCCTTCTAAAGCGAAGAAAAGGAAATAGCCTTCTTCTGTTAAGAGAGAAAAAAATGAGCAAAATTTGAAAGCATCCAACAAACAAGCAATAATCACACAGACAAATTCCGTGTCATCGCCGCAGTGTTAATGTTACTCGCGGTTGCTGTCATCGTAAAAATCGAAAAAAAAAATAAATTATTTAATAAACCGATAATTAATTGGGCCGATATACGGAAACCTGAAAGTAGTTGATCCTTTAATTTTATTCTAAAGATCCGACCACTGTTGCCCTTAAATTTCCATTCGCTAAAGCTGCGACGATGACTGATCTTAAAGATTAAAGTTTTACGTATCTCTGCCGACTTCATATGTTTTCTTCTGTTTTTCTTAAATTATCAGCTCAGGTTTTAATTTCTTGTAATCAAAACTCATTATATTAATCACCTGGCTGAGTCTTTTCGGTAGAATTATGCGATTTCAAGTATATTTATGTGTATATATTAATATTTTTCTTTTTTTTTATTAAGTAGAACAATGTTATTAATGTTAAGCCTATGGACTTTACTATGTGAAATCGTAATACAATCGCGGAACACATTATTTTATCTTCTCATCTGAAAATTTTTATGAATGTTTATCTCTTTTGCTTTAATAGTTTATCAGACTTTAAATGTTCAGAAACTGATACTGTGGCTGTTAAGCGTTTCTTCGGAGTTACCAATGATGTATAGTGTATTCGAGACGTGCCACTTGCCAATTTTGGTCCATTTTCCATATTATTTCCATGAATCCGTTTCAGAACAACCGGGTAGTCTTTGCTTAATATGTAGGAACCATTAGGCAGTGGATAAAGTTTTTGCGTGTTTAGCTCAAATTCACTAAAGCTGGTATCTGTGTCAGAGTCAAAGTTGTTATTCGATTCAAGAGGTTTCAATAGTTTATTATCGCTTTCCAATAAAACATGTTTGTCACTATTTCGCTCTTGCAGTATTCTTTTCAAGGGTAAATAATTTAAGACAATTATTGCCACCATGATAATAACGATAGCTTCTTTATATTGACTTGACAGATAAATCGAGGCCAAAGCAATTATTTGTATTAACCATTTAACAATATTTTGCGAGCGCTCATTGGTCGGTGGACCCTGACGATAGCAAAATAAGAATGATATCAATCCACTAATAGCAACATATGAAGCAAAATATTGAGCATATGTTGACAAAATCATTTGAATGTTATCCCATAGTAAACGTAACAAATAAAAACCCACCGCCCAACCGCCAATTATTATTCCATGCATCATTGTGCGTCTAAATAAAAAAATTATCTTAAAGAAAGTGAAGAGAATCATTTTGCATAATACTTACTTTGGTAATAATTTCCCGCACACCCACACAATAAGCAAGATTGAAGCAAAAACTCCAATTATTGTACCAAATATGTAATAAAAAATTGCATTCGTCGTCAAAATTCCCGCAAAAAAGTACATCAATATGCCGCCTAACAATAATAGAAAGCGGCGGTAATCCACCGTTGTTTGTTTCAAATATACGCCGTAAGAATGATCCGTATCGATGCCAAAGCAACGCTGAGCAAATGGAGGCAGCGATTGACTTGAGTGGCTTTGGGAAAATAAATTCATATTCAGAAAAGAACGATTCTGATTATAGCGTTTTTTGACTTCGGCCGGTGTCGAACCTTCATACTGCACATAATCATCGCCATCAACATCCAATTGGAAAACAATACTTGTTAAGAGGCGAGATAACGATTTTGTGGCACCTCGATAGCAGTAAATTTGCATTTCTCTGTTGAACAAGCCGCGTTTAAATGGCGTGTGTATTAACATCGTATTTGGTTCCATAAAATTTACTGAAATTTAGAAATGAATGTCATCGATTTCAGGTTATGAACAAAAAAAAAAAAAAAAAAAAAAAGATTCAATCACTTGCGGGCTTCTCCGGCTTTTCTGAACTCGTAATCCATAAAGCGTTTTGTGTAAGAAAGATTCCAAATAATAACATTAAACTAATTAAATGCATTTTTTAAAGTTTCTATTCCATAATATTTAATTTATATGATTTTTATGTTTTTTATACAAAATGCATGAAATTTCAATAAATTATTTAATTTCAAATAATTATAATCGCATTTGTGAGAAAGAAATGACGCTTTGTCATAATTGTTTCAAACTAAAATTTTTCGTTATTGCATAAACGATGAACTGCAAGTCAAAAACAGCTATAAACAATTTTGTCAAAACAGGGTGGTAATCATATAAGCTGACATAATTATCACCATGTTATTTCCGAGATGTAGTCGATTGTCGCCTTGAGGCTAATCACGTACTATTATCGCCAACATTGCAATAGGTTTCTCCAAATTTTCATTACCATGCAATAATAACTGAGAAAGACGTAGGAAATGAGAGACAAGTTTACATTTGTTTGTTTTCTATAAACAAACCACATATGGTAGACAATAACAAACATGCAAAATGCAACGAAAATTATGTAAAATTTATGTTAAGCGAAAAATGATAAATGAATTTCAATGTTGAAAGGATCGTAATCGATTTACAAGAAATTTACATTTAATTGGTGCAAATTAATAATAATTCTTTGTAAATGGATAATGTTGTTGCACTTTTTAATAGTCAACGACACAAATTGAAAGCAATTGACTGAAGATGCAATATTCTTATAGGAAATATTTGAAAAAATAACAGCAATATGTGATGTATTGGCATCAAAGAAAGAAGTCATTGAAGAGGTTAAAAGAGTGCGATCAGTGAAGACGAAATATTACCTTGATCCTTTAATGGGCGTCACTGTTCTCCTCTTCAATAAACGAGCATAAAAACTAGTTAAGATACTGTGTGTTGGAGATGTGCACATTGATTATCATTCCTCAATTTAGCTCGATATATAAAAAAAAAATTACACCTATGAATTATTTTTTCTTTTTCTTCGGAGTTTAAATGCTCACAAAATTTATTCACAAATCTAGTTTCGCGCACAGTTCAATTTTCGAAATGAAAAACAATTCAATTGCTATCATCTGTTTATATTTTTTCTTACAGCTATTTTTCCACAAATGCAATCCTAAAAGGGAGTTGTGTGCAACTTGTCTTCGGTTTATAATCAATATTAATGCAAACTTGCTGTTGTAAGGTTGTTTGGTTAATCTGATCGGTTCATAGTTATTATATATTATTTGCCTAAAAATGCGTTAATTTTAAAAGGGATATGAAAGACACCGCAATTACTTTTTCCTTAGTAATACTAACGATATGAGTATCAAATAGAAGAAATTGGAGAGTAGAATGCGTCTCGCATACTGGTGGTATGCGAGATTCGCCCCCCGTCGAATATAACTTTATTGCCTGTTAATATATATATATATATATATATATATATTTATAAACATTAAAATAGTACGTTTTGTGGGGCGTTGTCGAAGAAGTGGACCCATGCAAACCATTTTCAATAGCGCTCGTCCTCGGGCCAAAACACATCAAAGCATCAAATTTCCCCAAAATAACTGAAAAATTGGCGACATGTAGTTTGAATAGAAATCTACATGAACGAACATCAGACAGACCGACAGGCATAGAGCTATTTAGCAAATTATTCTAAATCAATACATTTCACTGCCCTCTCACAGACATTCTTAAGGTATAAATACGTATTTTGTTTAAGACCTTAAACGTTGCCCTCTTAATCCCAATAGAAAACAAAACAATTGTTGATTTTTTACATCATGGGCAACATATAACATTAAATATAGGAATAAAGGCACAGTTAACTGTGTCGAGTATAAAATGTTTGAATAAAATATGTTGCAAACATGTTGCAAAGCTGCGCAATTTTTCATTAAGGCAAGTAATCAATGAATATTAATCGACTTACATAAAGCTATGACATTCAGTGCGCTAAATTTCTTGCGCTTCTACGTTTAATTGATACGGAACTGTTATGATATACTTACGCTCAACCGATATATATATATTCAATTTATTCAATTATTAGCTTATCGAAGCTAGTAGATTCGAATACATAGCTATAGACAGTTTGTAGACATGTTTGAATTGTGCGCAGTGGTGTCACGGTCAATGTCAAAAAAAAAAAAGTAACAAAGTTAATAAACGACCTTTTTTGATTATAGCTACATGTTGAAGAATGTTTCCACTATTATGTCGATATCTAAGCATGGAAAAGTATTACTAGGCCGCCCATCTTTAATACATAATTAGAAAGAGTATCCCACAATTTACGCAAGATTTGAACTAAATACCAAAGGTTTTTTTTTTTTTTAAATTCTTATTTTTTTATTGAATCATAATGTACATAGGATACGGTTATATGTGAAATAGCACATCGGATAAACGGCCTCGACGGCTTCCCTGGTGCATACGAACTCTTTTAACGAAATTTCCGAACTGTGGCTGTGAAGCTTTCATTATTTTTGAAATATTGTTCAACAATGAAAACGCAGCTCTACTTTTACTACCCTTGAACTGTCAGCTGCGAGGATTACCAATACTTCATCGCATAAATGGGCGGCAAATTCAAATCTTACGTAAATTTCGGACACGCTGAAGCGAGCCATAAAGAACTCGTTCAAGTTATTCTGAATTTTCATTAATTGCTGAAATAAATCGGAGTTTTTTCGTAAAACATATCGTTTTTTTTTTTTTTTTTTTTTTTTTGTTGTTACATCAAAATTTTGTTATACGTCATATGAAGAGAAAAAGGACTAAAAAATCATTTACATAATAAACTATTTTTATATGTTTTATATATAAAACATAATATATATATGTATGTATATATTATGTTTTAAAATCAAATCAAATATTAAAATTATTGAAATTTTAAAGCTAAGATGACTCTTGTTGGTGTTGTTGTTTTTGTTGTTGTTGTTCTTACTATATATAAATTTCTTGTTAAAACTTAACAAATATGAATTTCAAGTTTCTCTTAACGCGAGACAGTTTAAGATAATAAAAACATTAATTTAATACAACAATAACTTTCCTTATTTGTTTTTTTTTGTTTTTTTTTTTTTACTTGTATATTTGCGGATTTATGCTTATCGTATAAATAAGCATACGTACATTATAAATACATATAAGTGTGCATGTATTGCAATTAGGTATGTATTTATATACATATTGACTAAGTGCCTTTATATTCAAAAATAATTAATTATAAAAATAAAAATAACTACAATAATAATAATAATAATAATAAGATTGATACATAAATATATAAAAAAAAATTGAAACTCTCTAATATGTGTTTATTTATTTTGATCATAATAAAAAAGTGCTAACGCGAAGAAGAAGAAAAGGGAAAGAGAAATACGACGGATCAAAATTATACAAAAAAAAATTAAGAAAACAATGGAGTTTGAAGAGAATTCGAGAGTGTTAGGGCAGTCACTTGAATTGGGTTTTAAATACAAATGCCTAAAGGTAAAAATTGATACTATGTATTACATGACTTAAGATTTTTGATCACAGCCCTGAAAACACAAAAAAAAAAAAAAAAAAAATAGATTCAAATCGATCTTCAACGAATTTTTTAATAATTATAACAAAATCTACGGATAACACATTGATAAAAAAAAAAAAGAAAAGCTCATTATATCTTTTAAATACATGTCAATGTATTCCACCAATGTTTTCATTCTTGACTTTTAAATTATTCCTAATTATTAAGGATTAAAGAGAATAACAAAAAAAGAAAAAAAAAAAAAAAAAATTAAGAAGTAGAAGAAAAAGGTAACTAAAGGAAAAACTCTCTCTACGTATATTGTATAAACGTGCAATTTTGGAAGAATTAAAACTGCAAAGTATTGAGATATGGTAAATATATGATTAACGATTTAATTCAGTGCGATTGGCAGCTACTTCAGCCAGTATGAGTAGATCTGAGGTAGACGATATATTGTCGTTTAAATTATTTAAAATTTCGACAGATCTTTGATTCAATGGTGACGGACACGATGCCAAATTTAATGCAGTAACATCGGCACATTTATTGTCTGTCATATTAATGTCTTTTTCACAAGATCCATTATAAGTTATGGCGAGCGGGGTCTCTTGCAAATAACAACAACCATTTATAGTTAGCACGGAGGCAACTTCATTTTCTATGGCGCTTACATCACGTCTAGTTATGCTCTCTTTCCGGGCTTTACGTTTTTGACTGCCTACCACTGCGACAGCAGTTGCGTGCTGTTGTTTCTGTTGATTTTGCTGTTGCTGATAATGCTGCGATTGCTGTGATTGTTGCCGCTGCTGCTGCTGCTGTTGTGGTTGTTGTTGGTGGTGTAAAAACTGCGAACTGTTGCACTTAGTAGGAGTAGTAGGCTGCGAAACCGGCTTAGGCGATTTCATATTTATATACAAATTATCATTGTTGCCTTTATTATTACGTTTTTTATTGTTCGTTGAAAATTTCTTTTTCTTTTTTGTATTACGTTTACGTTGTAAATAATCATCCAAACTTAAGGCGGGCAGTTCTTTGATTTTCTCTTCTAAATCAAAATTTCCAATATCACAAGGCAGCACGTTTTCCGTTTCGGATAAGGAACGACTTTGTCCAATTCCAAGGAGAGCTTCTCTATCCATGTCCACCTCTCTAACAAGAGAACTTTGTTTACCACTACCATCTTGCAGTAGTGTTTCTGCTAAGCGTACGGATGACTTTGATTTTTTTACTAAAGGTGCAATCTGACCTGAGTTAATTAGTTCCTGATATATTTTACCCTTGCATGATCTGGCACTTTTCTTTTTCGGCACTACACCATCCTCTTCACTGCTATTGCTGGAAAAGCTATTCTCGCTGTAGAGACGTCTTTTAAGATGCTTCTCCTCAACCATTTCCATGTTACCGGGTATGTGAGTGGTTAAAAATTGTGTAGTCTCACCGAGAGCTTGTTGTAAAGCACACTGTTTGCTTTTGTGTTTCTCTTGCAGTAATGAGCTTAATTCACCCATTTGTGCTTCGTCAGCTAACTTGAAATAATTAACATTGTTACGTATTGTATTTTGATCCAACGCGTCAACAATTTCTTCATTGGTAGCAATATGTGTTGGCCGTGTGTTTAGAGTACGTAAAGGAGGTGCGGGCAGTTTATACCATTTAAAATTGGGATTGGCTGAGAAAAAAGCGTCTTTATTCTAAAAAAAAAAAAAAAAAAAAAAAAAACCGGTGAATGAAAAATGAAAAATTCGTAGATCATAATAGTCTTTTTGTATTTATTTAGCTACCTGTTGAGCTAAGTTTGTAAAATATTTCTTATCGTTGGCATCCAAGGAGGCCCACCAGTCCCCAAGAATTTTTGTTATGGCCCTAAAAAAAGCAAAAACAAAAAAATAATAATAAATATATATTAAAGATATATATATATATATATATATATATATATATGCATATATATATATCGCAGTCGGTATGTTTAATTTTCACCTGTTTTCTAAATTCTTATAGCGTTCTTTTACTATAGCCCGATGACGCTTGCAAAATATTAGAAATGCGTTCATTGGACGACGGGCATGATGATCCGGTTTACTGCTAGTTGTGAAATTAGCTCCATTTTCATGGGACACGTTTGGCGTTTCTACTGTCTCGATATCAACATCAATATGTAAATCACTATCCTCAGTCGATTGTATTTTCTGTGCTTGAATAGTATTTTGAGCAAAGTGATAGTTGTGTAGACGTTCCGTTGCACTATCATTTAGCTTCTGTTTTCTTTTATTATAGTAATGCTCATAATCGGTATCGATATCTACCATATCATCGACTTGTCCATTCTGCATTATATTATCAATGAGATCGTCATTATTACCATAATCCTCCTCGTCGTCGTCGTCGTCATCATCAACATCGTCATCATCGTCTTGGATGCTACTCTCTCCGCTTGCATTTGGCGAAGGCATGTCATCGTCGTCGTATGGCTTCAATTTGGCATAATTGTGTACACTCTCTATGCGACGGAAGGCATGTTCTTGGTCCTCGGTACGTTGGGTTATTGTTGCAGTGATTTTCTTACTCGATTCTATTTTATTAGCATTGCTGCTGCTATTATTCTTAGCAAGGATATCGGTTTGTACAGGATACAAATTATTATTGGTTTTGTTTATATTATTATTATTATTATTATTATTATTATTATTGTTGTTATTGTTATTATTATTATTATTTTCTCGAAAAGCATTAGCACTAATATCTAATTTTAAGGCACTTTCCAAATCTACAGGTTTGCATTGGTTATTGTTGTTGCTATTATTAGATATGGGATTAAGACTTCTAACATTAAGTTTCTCATCCGGAAATTTTGTATTCCATTTACCAAATGTATCGTCATTATCTCGGCTCTCTTCTCTATCAACAGTTGAGGCACTTAAATTGTTATATAAGGTACGAAAATTGTTCCAGCAATTGTTTTGTAGTTTTGTATGATTAGCTAAATGTTGTACTTTAACGCGTTCCTGGCGATCCGTTTTAAATTGTTCGCTACCGCTAACCGTTATCAATTGAGCGGTATTTGTTGCATTAGCGATCGCAACATTCGCATAATTTGTAAACGCTCTCGTCTGCGATTGCGGCAACATTCGAATTGTCGAGATATTACATTTATCCGCTGGAAACGTTTTTGGCTTTAGCACTTCCATTCTATTAATATTATTTATCATATTTTATTCTGTTTGATTGCCCGATTTTCTATTTAAATTGAATGAAGTTTTCTTCTCTCACTTTTTCAAAACATTATAGACTAAAAATAATAAAATGAAGAAGAAGAAAAGAACACAAAACACTTAGTATTAGTTCATTTAGAAATTAAATTAAAAATAAAAATAAAAAAAAAATAAAAAAAAACAATTAAAATCTCAAATAATAAATAATTTCACTTTTATTAATCAAACAATATGCATAACAGGCGATATATGTACCAATCAAAGGCAAACACTTACGCATCACACTGATTGGTTCAAAATTGAAAGAGTTATAATCATTTTAGGGTGAATTTTTTTTACATTCATCCACTGCTTAGGATTAATACACTGTAACGCTGAATACTATTTCAAGCCGTTTTCATAATGTTAGTTTGCAGAAATTGGTCCTCATTGGTCCTCCTTGGATATTTTTACCGTTTTCTCAAGTTTTTCGCTTCTTTTTAATATGATTTTCGCATTGACTTTAACACTGTGCAGATAATGCGGACGAATTGATTCGACATTAATGTAAAGAAGTCAAGATCCATACATACGGCCACATTTAAAGGTGGACAACAGCCACAACCGCAACCACAGCCCAGCATTAAATACTCTACACGATCTTACAGCTATTTATGTGAGGAATTTTCAAAATAAGTCGTTGTAAGGGCATTGGTCGAAAAGATGGTTCGATACTGGCCATTCTCGATAGAGTGCATCCTTGCGCCAAAACACGTCGATGAGATACATTTTATCAAAATATCGCAAAAACTGCAACCTGAAGGTTGAAAAAAACAAAACGGACAGACGGGCGGTATAAAGAAAATGAATCTATCTGAAATTCGACTAGGTGTTGCACACATTCGCTCAAGCTTAATATACATTTGTACCAAAAGTGATGTAGAGTAAAAAAATTGAACCAAAAATACATACACAAAAACATTTATCTGGCTTTTGAGTTATCGCCATTATACGATCTACACCGGTATACGTATCCATTATCTTTGCTATCTCGGCGTTTAAACAAAAATCTTAATTTACCAATCATTCGTAATATTTTCAAAAATTGAACAAAAGACGAGAGACGGACACTGGTGATCGAGAAATTTACATTGATCAAGTTAGTTAGGTATTTATGCCGTCGGGTCTATAATGTATACGTACATGTATATGTTACAAAATAAATGAGCAAACAAGTGTATATCTTGTAACTTTGATAGCCGCTGTAAAAAATTGAGTTGCACACTCAAATTTGGGATTGTTCGTGAATTTGGTGATTTTGCGAGTTAACAACTTCGCTTTAAGTTGCAAAAAAAAAAAAAAACAAACAAACAAACAAACAAACAAACAAACACAAAAACTATTGTGGGCCACTGCGCGTTATTACATACCATACACCTCCCTACAATTATTTATTACGACTTTTCTAAATAAGTCGTTATATGGGAATTAGTCGAAGAAGCGATCCAGCCCGAACCATTTTCAGCTGTGCTCCTCATTAGGCGTGAACAGGTTAGTGCACCAAATTTCATATCTCAAATATCTTAGAACTTGCACACGGTAAGTTGAACCGAAATTGACGGACGGACAGACAAGCTTATATCAAATCACAAAATGATTTTGAATCGGCCGATGTAATCAAAAGTGCGTAGAACCGCACCAATTTAATATATCCTTGCACCACAAGTGGCGTTGGCCAAAATTTTGCTATAATTTTTTTAGCGTACATTTTAATAAAAGAAAAAAAGAAATGAATCGGTCTCTTTAGTTAGCCCGGCATTTTAATGTAGATGAACATGAATTTAATAATACTTATGCGAATTGTAACCTTTTGAAAGCAGACTATCTAAACATTGATTGGCAAAAAAATGAAAACTGGATGTACTCGATCTCTTCTTCTCTTCTGTGACACATATGAAATAGATGAAGACACATTTGAGAGAAATAGATTGAAAGAGAACATCGAAATTTGTTTTTTTAATAATTGAGAGTTGTCACAAAATGAATAAACATTTTTGACAGCTCGCTTACAGTATACACTTTGGAAAATTTAAAACGAACGAAAAGGGGAGCAGGGAGTATCATATCATAGTTTTAAGGTGTCCCTGCATACAAGTTCCTATTTTTTTTTTTTGCAGAGACATAACGTTACCTAATTGCCAAAGACCGTATTCAACAATTACGCTTTTAACATTTCTACATGGCCGAGATTTCCCAGTGTTTGTATTTGTCTCTTTTGTCTCGATAGTTTCACTAATAAGTAAAATTATCGCATATGACTTAGCCAGCAACCCCAAGCCCAATATGAAATGTTATTACACATCCACAAGAATCGATTATTTGGGCTTCATATCATAATTGTAAAGGAAACGTATTTTTAATTCAATAAATTGAATTTGTCCATAACTATAAATGCCGTTTGCGAGAACGGCATCCTGATCGACTATTTTGAAAATTCAAATTGAATGAATTCAAAATGTAATTTGAAGAAAGCGATACAAGAAGCAACACACGCGCTAAAAGATTTTGATTAGAGCTTCGACTAGCGCGCCAACATAATCCTATTACCGTTACGTACGCTTTTAGTTCTATTGTCTCCACGAATATTATGAAATGAAAATGTCTTTCTCTAATCGGAACGGCTTACAAAAAGTAGGTTTCACAACATCGTACAGATGATAATATTTAAACGTAATTGGGAGAGAGTGGAAGGGAACATCGAAAGTCTCTTTTACTTCTAAAAATTTATATTAAAGCCATAACTGCATCCCAAAGCATACCTTTTTATGTTACTGCATTTATTTAGAAATGTCGATATAATCGGTTGGGAAAAAAGAAATTTCGATATTTTTTTTCGCTCTCTCTCTCCGTTTGCGGCAACTTATACTGACGTGAGAGATGCGACAAGAGGGCATAAAATTCAAAAATAATTCGATTGCACACCAGAGTTTATTTATTTATTTATTTTTTTCTTTTTTTGCCTAGCGATTATCGAAAACGGGTTCCCCCAAATCAATTGACCTCATTTGGGCAAGAGTGTAATGTTAAGCTTAGAACGATTTCGCTTTAATTATTCCATTTTTTTTTTTTTTTTTTTTTTTTTTTTTTAATGTACGCTTGTTATGCATGAATTTGTTCAACCTGGCAACAAAATCGATCAATCGGCCCCAAACGACGATCTTTGCATGAAAGCTTACTGAGAAAAATTTCAAACAAAATTGTTTACAAAACAACAAAGCAGTGATTTTTTTCTCATATACTAACAGAAAACAAAAATTCATACATCTTGCATTTGCAAGATGTATATGCATATATATATATATATATAAATATAAAAATATATATATATATACGCGTGCGTGTGTGTGCAGATAAAATTACACTCATACATACTAACGCATAGTAAAATGAATATTGAGCAGAAAAATATATTATTTTTTTGTTAAAAAAGAGAATTTTTGCAGGTGGAAGTAAAAACCAATAATTACTAGAAATAATGAAATGAAATGCAACGAAAATCAAGATTAAAAGAGAAATTGAAGAAAAAAAAAAAGGAAAAGAAGATGAAAATTGGGATCAACCTCTTACTCCAAAATGCAACTTCTCTTTTTTTTTTTTTTTTTTTTTTTTTTTTTTTATACTAACAAAAGAAAATTGTTTCTCGCTCAAGTTCCAATAATGATATACATATTCATATTAGTATATGTATCTACTTAAGCATATATTGTATATAAATTTTCAATATTCTAGAAGCTACATTTATTTGACTTCTTTTAAACTTTCATTGTAAACAAAAAAAATAAATAAAAATCAAAATTAATAAATAAATGATAGTTAATAAAAAGTAAAAACGTAATTATGAATTGTGGAATAAAGAGGTGCTCGTTTAAGCTAAGCCTCTATATGATATACTTTACTTATTTTTTTGCTTTTTAATTTGAGAATACATTTTTGTTTTTCTTCAAGCACTTACATATATATATATATATATATATATATATATTTATTTTTTTTTTTCTCATTAAAACACTACAGCAAATTTGTTTAAAACTTATCATTCAAACTTGAATATAAATTTTAAAAAAAATATTGTTTTTTTTTTTTTTCTTTTAAATAAAATTGCACTTAGTTTCCTTGTCTGACTGTCTGTCTTTTAAATATTATAGCTGTTTAATGAATGCGCTACGTGTACACCGATACGCAACTCAATTGTCATGTCAGTGTACCCGAAAAGCGGCAGCAACAGCTCCACACAATACCACAATAAAAATACTAATACATTTGTCATTATTACGTTCATCTATGTAAACTTTTTGATTTCTTTTCCATGTGTAAGTAAGCACTTTTCCTACATGTATGCACTTAGCGAGTATATCGTTCATTAAATAAAATACAAGCAACGCAATGCTTGCTTATGTTTGTTGTCGATGTTTTTGCTTGAACTTGATTATGGTTGTTGTGTCATTGTTGTTGCTGTTATTATTCTTGTCAACAATATATTAAAATAAACATAAAACTGAAGCTTTCCTTCGTTATAGCAAAATTTTTTATAAAAAAGTATGCAAAGACAAATTAATTTTTTTATATGATAACTATATGAATATTATAAAAATTAATTGTTTTAAAATATGAAAACACTTAAAACAATTTATTGTAGCTACTTCGCTCAATTCACGAATGTATAATGAAAAATTTTCACTTTTGTGTAGTTAATAACAAAAAGCTTACTTGTAAAACTCACTTACACACAGATATCGTCTATCTGTTTCTCTCTTTCTCTCAATTGTTGCTTGTTTACATTTTGCTTTGGCTTCTCATTCAATTTTTCAATCAGCTGATTAGATGATGAGCTTTCTGCATTTATCGATATAATGTATACATATATTGTTTGTAAATAAATGTAAAAGAAGAAAGAAAAACAAATTAAAAAAAAAAGAAAAGAAAAATATATATTTCTACTAAGTTAAATAAATTTTCTTTAGTTAAAAAGCCCTAGCACTATATAGGAATGAGTAGATAATATATACAATATATTGCTTACATATACGAATATATATTCTGTACATATGCTACACAATATTTACGTATGCAAATACTATATATATATATATATATATATATATAACATTATCTATATATAAATGATTTTAATTTAATTCAAGTCGAAATGGCAAAAAAAAAAACAATTGCATCAATTTATTTTAAAAAAATGAAATAAATGTATGTATCCATGCATTTATGTACGTGCATGTATACTAAGTTATTGCCTTAATTTTATTCCTCTCTTTGTTTTGCAATTAAAATTGTAGAGTTGCCATCCTTAAATTGAATATTAATACGTTGATTGTGCTCTACTCAACTTAAGAACATATATGCTGAGATTTCTGTTCATTATCAGCAAATGAAAATCAGAATATTAAGGAAGTGTTTAAAAAAAACGATATACATGTCAAATTTTTTGTATTAATACGTTTGAGTATTAATATATTTTGCGCATGTATAGCGAAACTTTTAATAAAAACTTAATCTGTTGCTCGATTGAATGTAGTTTAAAAGTTTAACGAGAATTATAAGAAATATCGTTCTAATCTTTATATTTTCTATAATTTTTGGAGCTTTCGACATATTAGTAAAATCGTCGTTATATTTTAAATGAGTTGTGTGAGTTAAAATCAGACACCAAAAAAGCCGTAGTTATTTTATTAATAAGTACTGATTAGTTTTAGACGACATCGTAATATCCCTAACGTCGCAGAGATCTTTCTCAGATAATTTTTTCATGCTTTAGAGACAAAATGATTAACTTGACTTTTTTAGCGACTAAAGAATTTATATACAGTTTGAAACGAACCTGACACACTCATCTTTTAATATACGTAATAACTAAATTAAGAGTACATATTACCTTTTTTTACTATGATTTTTAAAAATTTGAATAATAAATATGCAAGAAATAGATCGATGAAATTCACACAATAATTATTCTAGATTCTCAATTTCAAAAGGCTATACTTAAATATATTAAGAATTAAAAAAAAAAAAAAAAAAAAAAGACATCGTCAGTAAGAAAACTGATGAATGAAATAAATGGAAAAATTTTAGTTTCGTAAGATTTCAAGATTTTTCTTTTTAGACCGGCAAATGTATTCATCGTTTACTCTTGCATATATACGTCAAAAGGGAAATAGGAATGTACATTATATAGATTCCCATTATCCAGCAATATGTTATATTATTAAATTATAATAAAGTTTCCCCACTATCTTTATATAATTAACAGTTTAACTACAATTGGCAGCCCTTCACGATTTGCATATAAATTACTGAGAAAGTTTCTGGCAGAAGCACTGAGTGCTTTGAAAATGCGAATGCATATGTAAAAATAATCAACAAAAACAAAATTGACAAAACTCATTCATTAAGTTTTCTAATCATATGTTGGAACGGCTGTTATTATAGTTGGGTTGATGGAACTTTTCAAAATCAAATCAATCATGCACATATTTTATTATATCAATTTAAGATCATATCCATATGCACACAACTACTTAGCCCTTAGACAATAAGGCGTTAATGACGGAACACGCACGAACATAATAAAACAGGTAGGAATCGTTTAACGATGAGACAGGGAAGGAGTGTTCTTTTCTTTTTTTTTTTCGTTGCTTTCATTTGTTGTTGTTATTGTTTAACTGTATATTACTCAAAAAATTTCAAGGCCACAAATGTCTACAATAAACACTAATACACATACAAACGTGCACGACTATAGGTAAATATATGTATGCTAAGTAAAATGTATATATATATATATATATATATATATATATATAAATATGTATTGAGTATAGATATTTTTTACGTTTAAAAAAGCATACAAACGATGCCGTTTGTCTTAATATGTATGTATGCATATATGTGCGTGTATTTATGTGGAAACGTATATGTGTGTTCGTTCATTTTTGTTGTTTTATATAGTTTGAATATCGGTCGCTTGATGCGCGACAGAATTGTAGGTAAAACGTTCACTTTCAGGGTCATGAAAATTCGATTTTCTTTCTTTCAAATATTCATATAAATATGAGAAGAGAAATGAACTTTTTGAGTAATAAACAATGCATACACAGATGTGTTGAATTCTCAATGCATAGAATAAGGAAAAGTTAAATTTTGTATGAATGTATAAAAATGTCATTTAACTCAAACACAAAAAATAAAAATATGTTAAGTATATATTAATTATGTATGCAAGTGTGCTAAGTGTTTGCATTTGCTTAAAAAACTTATTTTAATAAATATTATGGAGATTTTCATATACAGATATGCTTTATATTCGCATTTACAAAGAGATGATTACTACTATACATGCAAGTGTCATGTATGCTTATTATCTGTCTGTCTTTAATAGCATTCGCTCTCCCTCTTTCTCTCTCGCCGTATATATAGAAAACTCTCATAAGCGGAAATAAACTACGGTCAAAGGCATTTAAATGATATAATGATAAATATATAATATTATTGTGTCGCGTACAGTAAAATTGCAAATAAATTTAATTAAAATTTTTTACAATTAATGATTAATTAAACCCTTTTCTTGCAATAAATAATGTTTGTCTTTTCTAATTTACTTCATATTTTTACTCACCGCTTTTTAAAAGCGACGACATTGCCACGATATGATTGTTGTATATATAATCCATTACTAATAAGCTAAACTAATAAAGAACGGCTTTGGAGAAACTAATTAGCTCTTTATATTAGTATTTTCTTTTTTTTAAAAATAACTTTATCAGGGTTGCTATGCCATCGAATTTTATCAGTTTTGAGCTTAAACAATGCGCATCACCGTCATTGTGGTAAACACATTTTTATAAAAAAAAAATTTTTTCTTTTTGTGTTTTTTATAATTAGTCTTACTAACCACAAATTGAAAACAAAGACACAGTTGTGACAGTTACGATTAAATATATTTACGCGTATACAAAAGAAATGAAAAAAATATTAAATAAAAATGAAGAATTACATTACACGAATTCTATGTAATACCACACATTTCGATAATCGCAATCAGCATTTAATGATTCTAGAAAACAACACCAAATATTAGAAGTTCATTTGTCACTTGGGTCGATTTAAATGTACGGCTTGAAACCGCCTCCATTGCGTCCATTTTTCTTGCGTCCACACATATAATTGACTATTGAATGTGCACTTAAGGACATATACAAGTATATGTCAATCTTCATAAAAAAAAAAAAAGTTGAAATTAGCGCTCGTTTAAATGTAGTAAATACATATAAGATTTATTAATAACAAAAAAAAAAAAAAAAAAAGAAAAAAGAAAGACATAGAACCGCTCGCAGAATTAGAAAACAATAAACTCCTTAACGGTTAAATGTCTAATATATGCGCATGCGCTTTAATCATCGCAACTAATCTTCTTTGCAAATTTCCAAAATAAAACCGAAAAATTAACGGTTTTTTTTTAGTTCCCTAATCTCAATTGCAGTTAGAAATTTGATGATCAAAGTCATGAGTGACAATTCAAAAAATATATAAAATCTACAATGGAACGTTGTAAAGTACCGGGAGAATGGAAAATACATCTACAACAAGCAGATCAAGACAACTCTCTACCGAAGACATAAGACGAATCTTAAGTTAAATAAACAAGCATCGTAAAGTTAGTGCTGCGATCAACTGAATCGATAATTCTGTTCACAACTTTAACAAGAGTAAACAAAGTACTTCACGGGCCAAAAGCATTTGATAAATATAGGGTGTGTTATAGATTACTCTTGAGACAGAACTTGGACATCATCCTTTTTCTGTTTCTTGTTCGTCAGCATGAATTATAAACAAAGATCTTAAATTTTTGAATTTTGTATATAACTTTTCTTTAAGAAGCAGTTCTGCGTATTTGTCCTGAAGACCATGATCTTATTGGTATTTTACCCATTCTAACTAAGATTTTTGACATTAGAAACATAGGATGTTCAAAGCTGAGTATGACAACACTAATTTAACAGTTCTAGTTTCGAATGGTTTCGGTAAGGCTTTTATTGTTGTGAATCATAGTCTATTACTGGAAGGGTGTTACGTCGGTTTTTTAACGCTACGGCACCTGAGCGCATAAAGATCGACATCAACATATTATTGTCTGTACCTCTTCTTCTCACATAAAAGAAATTGTTTGTGGTGTCGTGTAACGGTCTGTATTAAGGTTGATTTTATTTAGTTGTCATCACTTGTAATACAGAGTGTATTAAGTTTACGCGGATATACGTAACGATCGGAAGGGCCTAAGATAGTCCTATCTTTGTTATAGCTCTCGATTGAGAAAGTGATTCTAAACTTGTCTGGCCATCTTGTTCATCTTGTTGTTTTAATGAAATTTGCTACATTGACGCAAAGGCCCAAAGGCGAACGGTATTGAAAATAGTGTGTATCGGACCAACTTTTTCGATCACTACTCCCCATATACTGCCTTATTTTGAAAAGTCGTTACATGGAAAAAATTGCAATTTTCGACATTCTAAATTGGTATAAAAAATTTAATTATGCTGGGGCAATAATTCGAATCCCCTCTCATATAAGCGGTTCTAAGAAAACTGTTCTTTTTGTATGGTAAAAAGCTTTAATTTTCAATATTTCACGGTGGAAGGAGTTCATAATAACAAGTTGACAAAAAAATCAACCTTACCGAATATGGATCTTGTAAGGTCCGGCTTATAAGGATTGTCAGGGAATTTAAACCCTTATGTGCTAAAAATGCTAATTGTTAATCAAAGTGGACCAAATTTGAATCATATAATTCTATTTCGTGGACCCTACTCCATATAAGATAGCTCATGAATTGTAAGCACTTTAGAGAATTTATAGATTAAATTTCCAATATTTCATAACCAAAATTGGTCGATTATTAAAATTTAATAAAGAAATTAACTGTAGAAAATTTAGATCAAATGAGTCCATTTTTCAGATCCCAAAATATTTACAAGCCATCACGAGAAGCAAGCCCTTATATAGAAAAAAAACTGTAATTACCAATGATTTATGACGGAAATTGAAAAATCATAAGAGTGTTAGGGAAAATTTCACGCCATTTGATATTTCGGTTACGATTTTATGAAAGATATGCCTTTTCGTAAAAATAATATTCGGTGTATAATTACCAAAACGAGCATATAATTATGATGTAGCGCATTTGAAAGTCGGCCTTGCGCGATTACAATGTTTTCACTTGTTTTCATATATTATTTAGCTACCAGTAAGTGTAATATTTATGTATGTGCTGATGATTCTCAATGTCACGTCTAGTTTTCACGTCCGCGCCGATTTGCGGAGGATATAGTTCAACGGATGAATGACGTATAGTTCACTGGTCTAGTATAAGTAAGTTCATTTCGAATTCATGTAAACGATTGTCATCACTCTTAAGTAACAAGTCGATCAATAACTCCTGAGGCTAACACATAGGTATCGTCTCTAGGAAATTGTTTCATTTTATCTTCAGAAAATTCCATCCCCCAAATGACTTTGATTTAGTGAATTTGGTGTGCGCTCATTTTCTTCACAAAGCAATAGAAATATTAGGATCCGCCTGAATGCCCGAAGGCGAGGAATCTCGACTAGCAACTCAATGGTCGTGGGTTCGAATTTCAAGTGCGATACAGTTTTTAATAAAAGCCGATAGTCTTAAATGCTAATGCTTTAAGAGTTTAGTCTTAGAATTTATTTCTCTGGCGAAATTAATAATAAATAATAATAGAAATATTGGAATTTCGTGTGTTAATTGAAATATTGGGTTTTGATGCGGAAATACATTGTCCAAATTCAGCAATCGAGTCTGTAATGATAGCACCTATCAAATGAAAATAACTATTGGTTGGCGGTAAAGTTGCACGAGTACGTTAACGTTCTAAATAAGATATCAAAAGGAAGTATGTTTAGTGCTTTGCATGAAAGTTTGAGCAAAAAGGGAAGCGGTTTCCAAATGGGTTTTTGGAAGCAAAAACACCGAATAAAAGTCGATGGCTATAATGGTACAATTGGATGAAATGAAAGTGGAAATGTTGTCCTGTCCCCGATATTTTCTAGGTCCAAATTCCAGCGATTATTACGTATTCGTTAATCTCAAAGGTATGTTTCAGGGAAAAAGATTGTTATCAAACGAGAAGGTCGTTCTAAGAATCTATAAAAGCGGTATCAAAATATAAGAAAAACCGTTTGACTTGTTGTATCCGTCTATAAGGAGATAATGTGGTTGAATACGAATAGAATACGAAATCATGGTTGTTTAGGTTGAAGACCATGCAAATTGCACGATAGCGTGAGTAAATGATATTTTAACAAAAACCCATTGACTCTCATTAACCTTTGCCCTATTGGAAACTAAACTACGGTTAATTACATGTCATGTCCGTACCGTTTATATCGCATTTATATACCAATGCGTAAGATAACCTTGACAGTCTTTCTAAATATAAACGACAAGTCGTAGTGAATAAATATGCGAGATACGTCTAGCGTAACTAGCGCAATATATGATAAGAGATCAGAATTTTCTTTAAAATTTTTTAAAATAACTTCAACTTACTTGCTTATTTAAATATTAAAAAATATAATTTTTATTCATGAAATTATTTACACTTTCATGTCGCGAGCTCTTGTGCGATAAATGTAATTTCGCCTAACCGCAAATACTTAATTAAGGTTGCGAAGGATGTTCTTCATTGTCAGCGTAAAACAAAAAAAAAACAAAAAAAGACAAAATTCTTTGCAAGTCAATATCAAGACCGTTGCTTGCTCTCAAAGCTTTTTTTCTTTAAAGCATTTCTAAAGTATGCGTGGATATTAACTGCAACATTTTTTCACTCCTTAATTTTATACTATATTCAATATATCACACCGAAGGAGACATTCGCCCGATGCAAACAATTGAAACTTATAAACGACGCGACAAACACAGTACACATCGTAGCTCCTTGATGCATATAAAATAGAAGAGAGCGTTTAAGCAAAAACGATAGAAGGAAGAGCAACCTGCGCATTTTAATCGTAAATGGCGGATTAATTTCTATAGGAGGGCGCAGATAATGCTTTCAATGCAAAGTTGCGTACATTCTACGAAGTAAAGAACATTACAAGAAAAAACGATAATTTGCGAAATATCGATCGTGTAGTATATATATGATAATAGGGAGGCTCATCACCATTACACAACGCGAATATTGCTTTAGAATACCCTCATTTAAATGATAACAGCCGTCTCTGAACGCTTTGCAGGTTTCGATCATTATTAAATGTAAGATAACAAGATCGCTGATTAAATATTGAAAGTTCGTTTTGTGTTTGACAGCAATTGAAAGAGAACTTAAATTCGTTACTAATTTCTGTATCCATAAACGTAGTAAAGCGTAATAACAAAACTGAAGGGTTCCATTGCTTAATGAATAGTGTAGAAAGAAGAAAGAAAAAAAAAAAAAAAACATTAAAATCAATCACAGAGAATTTGTAAACACACACACAATGACAGTTTATATGAGACATCTTTATTTTATTTAAATAAACATGTTTATACGTATATAAGTTTCTTTTTTCTTTACATTCTATATAATATTTGCATATAGATTTTTTTGCACATATTTCTCAGTATGAATTACCTTTATTTTCTTCTTTAGTATGTTGATAGGTTTTGTTTTTTTTTTTCTTTTTTATATAATACAAATGAATTTTTATGTTCATATCAAAATTTACATAAAATTATTAGTAAATTTTTATATATAGGTCTTTATCGTTCGCACAAAAATAACAATTTTATTTAATAATTATTTAATTAATTAAAAGAAATTATTAATTGACTGACTATATATTTAATAATATTTTATTTATGTCGTAAAAAAATTTTTAGATATTGATACATAAACAAACAAAGCGAATAATAGTAAACGGTATGCGCAAAATGAACGAAATAGCGAAATAAAATTAATATATATATATATATATACATATATTATGAACATATGTACACTTGCTCTCTAAGCATTAAACAGTCACGTCAACAAATGTCGTCTCGAACTAAACTAAAAGAGAAAAAAGAGAAATTAAAAAGCTTACAAATCAGCTGTTCATCTGTCCATTTTATGCACACACAACTTGCTAATGCATGCACATTAGTAAAACAATAATAACAGCATAACGAATGCAATGTAAACAAACTCAGCTGATCATAGTTTATTCACACATTAAGCGTTGTACGGTTGATAAACAGAATTAACGGATAAAGTTTGTTTATAAAATTGTTGAAATGTATTGAATATGTATTTGAAATTTTATTATTTTCCATACTTGTGTCCCTTCACGTTTTCCTAAAGCATTCGTTTTCTATTAATTAATTTGTAGTAAGAGATTTAGCTGCAAAATTTAAAATGATCCGAATACAAAGGTAACGCAATGTTAAAGCATTTTAAATGAAGTTAAAAATTAAAGGTCAATCATATATATACATATATATATATATCGGCAACCAACATAGAAAGAAATAATTAGCGTGAAATAAGTAGTGACCTCCAGGCAGGAGGTGCACAATGGTGCCAATTACCACTTTTCTTCCCTAAAACTATGAATAGTTGAAATAATGCTGTTTTTTTAAATTAAAATTTATTTTTTTATAGCGTACTTTTGGTGCTTTAATCGAAAATAATTGAATTTCTCGAAAGAAAAAAAAAAAAAATTTACATATAAATTTTAAATTTTAAATATAACATACACCCATTTTTACTCAAATATTACGCTTATACTAAATTCTACTTCAATTTAAATTCAATTTATTATCAAAAACTGCTGAATGTTACGCACAGAAGTAAACTATAAAACAAAATTTTATTCTCAAGAATCGCAAAACTAAGTAAACCATACTCAAAAGCTACCCGCTTGCATGGAACTAATTTTGGTTTTTTGATCTTATCCTTAACAATCTTAAAAGAAAATTGCAAAAATTTAAAAGACTTATGGGTAAAGTGATTCTAGCAGTCAAATTTATATCATTTTCCTTTATAAAATTCATGGATGAACAAACGAACAAGCGGATATGTTAAGGTGCATTCAAGATTTGAAATTGGTCAAGAATTTGCATACCTTATAGGGTTTTTGACGCTTGTTTTAAATAAATTTTTCATATACTACAATATTGGGTAAGCGTGGTCCATTTTTGTCCACAAATGCTACAGTATTACCCACAGAATATATGTTCACATTTTTGTACATTTATTTGCTATATGAGTATATCAAGAATATATATACGGCCAGTCGGAGATGCTTAAATCGATTTTCAATTTGATGCTGATCAAGAATATATATATATACTTTGTGGGTTCTCTGATGATGCTCCCTTCTCGGCTTTGCAAATGCGTAGAGAATGCCAAAAAAAAAGTTCTATTTGCGACCATGGGGCGGTGGTATCTTATGTGTGGTACTAAAAAACACCTTCGTAGAATTTCGAAAAAATACGGATTTCCCAAAGAAAAACTTTATTATTTCGTATAAACTAGAGATTAGATCGAGAGCGACTTAAAGACGTGTACTTGCGCCGATATTGCAGCACGATGATGCTCCAGCTTACTGCTTGTTCGTAATATTTTGGCCAAAAAAAAAAGACCGTCATTGTGTCTCATCCATCGTATTCATCGGACTTGGCCTCTTGCGACTTTTTCCCTTTTTCCAAACTGCAGAATCCCATGAAAAGATGGACACCTGCCACGCATATCAGAAGTGCTTGCGGGATTGTAAAAAGCGTCCACACAAGTATATTATATCTAAAAGGGATTATTTTAAAGGGGACAAAATAGATATTGGTTTGAATAGATATAATAGATGATTGAGCACACCTCGTATACTTTCTTAGCTGATTTAAAAAAGACGTCTCTCATCAAATTCTCTAAAGCTTTTTATCAGTTTTTACAATTTATTGTTTTATTCACAATTTACATTAAGTATATCGTAATTTCTAAAATTGGTTTCAAAGAGTTAAGGCGTATAACTTATTCATACATTTTCTTTAATAAATAATAATATAAAAAAAAATAATAAAATTAAACTATTTTCTAAATTATTACAGTTCTTTATTGATATATGACAATTGCCCGATGGCGCATTGATTTTTAATTTATATTTGAAAATGTTTTCATAAGTGCAAATGAAACATAAACGCAATAATTATGGTTTTAGATAAAGTAAAGTTATATTAATTGTAAAGATAATGCTTTCACTTTTTTCCTCTATTTTGCTGCATCAACTGTCGCTTGCGTTTACCGTTGTTGACAATCATTAAAAAACTTCACCATTTTAAACATAAGGGCATTCATTTATTTTTACTACCTAAAGTAGCGATAAAGGTAATGTTCAATTGAACTGCCGATGAATTTATACCTTAAGATTAATGCAATGCCTTATGATATCCAGTATTAAATATAATATTTCAATATTTATTAAAGACGCTTTTTTGTTTGACGAGTTAAAGTTAATTATTCGAATCTTGGTTATATTGTATTTAATTCTAAATGCACCAAGCACACAGTGGCACTAAGCCGAACTTGTACACCTAGCGAAAATATTTATTTCTTGTGATATATTTCAAACTAAATATATAAAATATATAAACAAAAAAAAAAATCCTTTTTATTGTTTTATAGTATTATATATTACATTAAATGACGTAAACAAATTTCAAAATTTATCATTATTTATTAAAATAAAGATAAAAGACGCGGCCCATAATTAGCAAAAACCGATCATTCCTTTCGTTTTTTTTCCAAATCGCAAAGCCTTTCCTCTTTGAAATCTGAAAATCGTGTACGAAAAGCAATAAAACCGGCTAAGGGAATCGTCAAGAATTACAAAAACGCCATTTTTTTTTTTTGGCATAATAAAAAATGTACGCATTAGGCTTCCTGCAGGTATATCAATTTATGTAACTTCCATTAAATAGTTTACATAACTCACCAGATTTGCAACAAACATTGCTCTGGCAATGACTTTGCGAACAGCTGTTTGTTGGTAGCGACATTTTAAATTAGTGAAAGTTTTTGGTTTCGGGCATTTTGAAAAAAGATAGATTATTTCTTCTCGTTTTGATAGGTGCTGATGCAAAAAAAAAAATAAATAAATAAATACCTTCTCACATTTCCTATCGCCTTAGATAGTGAAAAGTATATTTTTCGTCTTCACAGTCAATAAGAAATCGTGGCATTTTTGTTATCGCTTGCGTTTGTAACAATTAATTTAACTGTTATATATATAGCATAGCGGATTATGGATCTAAATTCAAGTTAAAAGGTCCAATCCATATCAAATACAAACAAAAAAAAAATATATATATAACATAGCGATAAATAAAGTCAAATTCTGTAAATTAAATATATGAGAAAAGTGGAGTTAAATGTAACTTCGTGGAAACAAATTGGTAATACTTCCCAATAATTGAATTAATTATAAATAAATAATTATTTTGAAATTTTAACAAGTTAAAGTAATTATGAGTTGAAATAAACGTTAAAGTGCAAAGTAGTGCTGGTGGCAGAAAAAAAGAGGGCAAGCAAAAAAAGGATGTGCGTGTTTAACTTCAATATACATGCAAACAATTGTACAGTACAGATCTTTTATTATTTCGTCATTAACAAAAACAACAAAATGTTCGAATCTTTTATTTTTGCTAATTGCATTAAAGCATTTAATTAAATAATGCACACGTAAAGTCATATGCGCGGTATCGAATGGTGTATAAATGGCCACCTAACAGATGATGTAGGGGGAAAAAGACATTCAATCGGACGGTGCTATGAATGAAAAAGTGTAAATTGTATATTAAAAAAGAATTGGCTTTGGTAGAGTGTGGATTATAATGGAAAACATAAAGAAACACTGTTGTATATCTAAATGTTACTAAATAACGTAATTAATTATATAAATAGTAATTTCTGTGATCGCAATTGATTAACAAGTAATTTACACCTATTGTGCCATAATTGATCTTTAATGATATTAATTAAATATTAAATACAAATTGAATCTTTGCAAAAAGCGAAATTCACATTACTAGAAACCTCATTTTTTTTCTGATTGATGTACATATGATTTTTTTTACATTGAGTTGCTACAAAAAACAAATGAAAGGCATAATAGTTGGATGCAGATAAGAGGGTTAGCAGGGAGCGGGATTTACTATAGTAATTCCTTAGGTTAGGTGAACTAAAAGGCGATGGCATAATATCAACATTGCCGCCCACGAAACATCTAATTAGACTTGGTAATCCTTAATAAAGCAAACAAATCCCAATCCGACGAGGAGAGCTCGGAAACAGGCATGCTACTCTAACTAGTTCCGACTGTCTTAGTTGCATCAATGCATTAACATCTAGGGGTTTATTCCTGTCTGCGATTGCCTGAGTAATGAACCCAAAGCTACTCAATCAATTATATTAGACTAGCTTCGTTAAAGATTATATAAGAACGGTGAATATGAAAGGCTTTTATAACAAAATGTAGTGATTGTTATAACGCAATGTATGTTTTTTTTTTTTTTTTTGGCAGTGACCACAATGACAACAGAGGCACAAAACCGGTATGTGAGGACGCATAGTCAAGCTTATGGGACGGTCCATACAAAGTCGTAATGAATGGCCAAGTTAAAGTACACCAGACAAAAGGTATCGATCTCCAGGTTTTGTCAGAAAGGTAGTTGAAAGCCTCTTCCCGAAGCATGTTGTCCGCGAAATGCGCACTTATCTTTGCGCAGGCACTGTTGAGGAGTTAAATGATGCATTGCTGGAACCAGGAAACAACAAAGCACCAGGTCCGGATAACATCCCAATCGAAGTCCTAAAACTAGCCATGGCAGGAAATACCCAGCCATTTTTGAAAGTTTATAATAATTGCCTACATGCGGAAGTATTCTCGAATATATGGAAAAGCCAAGAGTTTTTGCTGTTACCAAGCCAGCTGAGAAACCGAAATTGTATGGGCCCTTATGTATAATTGATACGCTAGGGAAAATGCTGGAGAAGATGATTTGCAGGCGCATGGTAGATCATATCGAGCAAATGGGGGGAATCTTGAATAATCAGTATAGCTTCCGAAGAGATTCGGTCAGCTGTCGACGCTACACTCCAAGTGAAAGCTCTTGCATAAGACGTTATAAAAGGCGCTAGATGGAAAAATGGTAGCAAAAAGTACTCCGCTGTTATCACTTTATTTAATTATTTAATGACTACAACTACAAAGAAAACATTATTTCCTAAACATATGTTGAAATTGAGTTATATAGAAAATAAATTTGAAAAAAAATTTTAGAGTAATATTTTGATTAAAATAAATGCAAAAATATTAAAAATTTATTTGTAATATTGTATGCCAAGTATATTTAATTATAATTTTCTTTGTAGACCTTTGTATTTAAATTGATTCCCCCGTTAAAAATACTGAAGGAAAGAAAAGAAAACAATTAGAAGATGAAGAAGAAATAACGAAAAGAGTGAAAGAAAAACTTCCGTCTACATCATCCCCTATAATAGATAATAAGGCTAAAGGAGAAGGAATAGAAAGCAAAAATTTGACTATCCCGAAGAAGGGACACAAACATTTTTGCCAAAGCACGTATTTGATTAGCCTATAGAATTTTTTGAACAAAATTGTACGCGATTCATATTTAGAAAAATGACGACAACTCAATACCATACATATAACTTCTTAAGCAAGTGTATGGACAAACTCGTTACCATTGCAAATATATCCGCGTAATGCACAATCTTAAACATACATGCTAAAAAGAGACAAAAACATTATGTATATAAGTTCGAACATTTCCTTAGCAACATTATTGCAACATTTTGCCTTTACGGTCTTGTGTAGGGAGAGGACGAACTTTTGGCGAATTTCAAAGTGATGTCGTCTAACCAGGGTAATGAAATTAGGTATTTCTGATAGGCATTTTTGACGACATATCAAAAATCTGTAGTCTAAAAATGGTTATAACACAATTTTAACATTGCATTCTTTCAGTATTTGTGATATACATTTGCATGAGATTTACTAGCAATAGATAAATATTTTTACTTTTGCGTTCGTAATTAGGGGCTTAGTATGTTTTAGATGTGCACGTTTGCTAAGATTATTTAATTTTAACACTTATTTTACTTTATTGTTGTTTATTTCGCAATAAATTCTAATTTAGCAAAGACAATTTTAGTAAAGACACGATCCGTAAAAATGTGGGTTATCTTGGGGGGCTATCTTTCACTTCAGTAAAATTTAATACTTAATATAATACTTGGCAAAAACCAAAAGTCTTGTGCGATTGACGGCTGGTACTGGAAATTATAAATAAATAAATTGCTAACAGACCCTCTCTGATTAAAGAATTGTGAAAGTCTTTTTCAATTTGTTTAAATTGAAGTAAGATACATACAGTAGCAGCAGCGGCAGTGAAATGTAAGAAGATTTCTTACGTTTTAGTAATTCGGCCCTGACTTTGGATTGACCAAGTAATTGAAAAAGAAGTTAGATGTGAAGGCAATATTATGTTGTCTGTAATTGTTCCACTTTTAATTTCTATTAAATTTTTATTATTGATATACCCACACACAGGCCGTGAATGCGCATTCGCCGGCTAATTTTATGGGTGAATTCCATTTAATTTAAGATTTTTAAAAAAAAGTAAAAATTAGGAAGAGTATTTGCTAAAAAGCTTTCTTAAATTAATTGCTTTAGTTAGAGTCAATTTTAACATTAATATTGTATTATTATATTCACCTTTGATTATATAATTATTTTCATTTATTAAACAATTACAACGCATTTTAGAATAAATTTGTTTTGTATAGATCCTGGCAGGTGAGGTGAGTCAACCCTTACAGATCGCAGTAAATCCGGGCATTTAAATTTAATAAAGTAAAATTACGCAGATATAAATTGATTGCAGTACTGAACGATGCATATATACGCTCTATTATCGCTATGAAATGCTTCTCTTTCCCTCAACAGCAGATTTGCGCCATTAAGGGGAAAATTAAAGTACATTTTAAAAGATGGCTACACAAGCGTGACGCCGTCTATAGAATTTCAAAGCATGGGACAATAAAGGGGCGCCGAATGCATACATATGAAGATAGCTGATAATGCTTTATATTTGTGGAAATGAATGACGGAATGACGGATGGAAGAGAGAACTATGAAAAGAGGAAAAGTCCGTCTGCATGATTTGAGCAGATGTTTTTTTTTTCTTTTTAATGGTTTAGGCAAGAAGACAATTTGGTTTTACGCGGGGAGAGTTAGTTAGTTGTGTTGTGCCGTCGAAAGAGTTTGTGCTGCGAAGAGGGAGTTGTATGATAGTCTTGCAAAACTGTTTCACCTGTATGGCTAGAATTAATAAAAGTATTGATAAAACTGCGCATAATAAATGTTGTTCTAATTTTTGTCAATTAATATTGTCAATTATGACAATAATAATGTATTACTTAAATTCTTGTTGCATTGTCTGATCGATCGATTGCTTGCAACACGTATGCAGTTACTTAAAATTATAGCTCCATACATATAACTGCCCCTACTTCTTTGTTAAGCGTATATCTCAAGGCACCCGATTTGCTTTAATTTTCATATTAATTCCATTATTTATTAATTGGAAAAAAAATGTTCAGGAAAAAGTCAATTTAGAAACAAATGTAAATGGTCTTCCACACTGAACGTTTGAGATAAAGATAACAACTATGATCGACGCCAAAGTAATAGCAATTTTAACAGTACGTAGCATCATCTGGCGACGAGATGACGCAAACGTCTACAGGCGTCAGATCAGATGGAATTAACAATCGATTTTTTCATCAATAACGTGAAGTGGCAAAGTATACGTTTCAATCAATCAAAAACCTGTTGAAAACAAATGAAGTATTTAAATAAATTCAACCTGCAATCATTTCTCTAATATTTACATGTAAAGTATTTTGTCAATCAGTTGAGTACGAAGATTTTAATTGCGTCTTATCACGAAACCACTTTTCATTTCTTACGATTAAAGAATTATATTTTCAATGAAATTCTTGCATAGCTTATTGTAATATAAGTGAAATAAACTTAATACATTTCTATAAAGGCCGTTAAATATCGGGTTAGCTTGAAACGATTTGCTGTCCTTTATTAACATATAACAAAACCATGAAAAATACATTATTGTGCGGAAATGCTAAACGCGGAGATTTTGCGACATAACCTACACGCAAATTACAACAATATCAGCATCCGTTTGATTCTAATTACGCAGGTTGGGTGTCGTTTACCACTAAAAAAAAAAAACGTTAAAGCCGGTCGATTTACTATAACGGATATCATATATATTGGCAGTTAACAACTCAAACTAGTGACGGATTCACCGTTGTAAGCAATTGAGAATCTCAAATATCAACACTGATCTAATCTAACTATTAACTTGTATAATGTTAGTGATGTACAAAAATGTTTGAATAAAAAAGGTGAGGACTCAAAATCGCACCTAGTTTTCGCCTCACATGTCGTTCGGGTCTAGATTGAGCTAAATTAAGAGTAACAAAAAAGGTACATAAGATTTGGATTAGCAAGATTGGATGTGATAAACTTAATAAAAGCTAAAAGGGCGATTTTCGATATTTGATGCCATCTTGCTACGACAATCCGATTTTGCCTTTCTTCATGAGCAGCCAGCCGACGCAAAAAGACATGTCGCGTCAGATATTTTCTTCTAGCGGAAACCGCTCAAGACTTCTAAATCTCTTCTTATCTATTATTGAAATCAAAATCTAAAGCGGCAGTGAATTATTAGAATAAATAGATTTGAAAAACGATCAATTAAGATATATCAGACGATGTTGTTTTTTTTTTTTTTTTGTTAGCAAATCTTTCCATATTGCCAATTAAAACCCAACGCCTGAGTAAAATAATCGAATTCGTTACGATACTGATGAATTAACTAATAATTTATATATAAATCATAAACTTATGAACTCCCTTCTTAATCAAACAAATACGTTGTGGGCAATTAATTCGGTAAAGTATTAAATTTCAACGGATGATGAGATGTTTCTATTAACAATTTCCCACTTAGTACGGCATATAAAAATTGCCTTGCGGGTGGTGTAAACAGTTTGATTCAGAATATCAAAATCTAATAGTATATAAAAAGCGAAATTCTAACAAATCAAATGAATTCGGTTTCGAGTCTCAAAGGGATAGATAAATAATAAATTTCTTTGAGTACTCTTTTGAGACCGGAACTGAAGCTGTAAAACACAAGTACACCGCAAGTATCGTGTGAATAAAGCCGAAAACCACACTCTTGTGAATAGAACCACACGACTAACCTCCCAGAAAAATTATGATGCACAGTGACAACATAGCTTGGGAGCCAACAATTTTGGTGAACTGGGCACGATGGTTTACGGCACCCTGTTCACCGCAGCAATATCGCCACAAAGCGGATGAATCGAACTTCAAGACTATTGTGGAATTGTGTGATGATCAGGAATTTCCAAGCACTAAAAGCAAAGAAGAAACGCTAGAAGAGAAAATTTTGAAGTTGAACGACACTTTCATTATTGTGGGCGATAACGTGCACAAGTTCAGAGAAGGACATGCGAAGCACTGCAATCTGAAAGGACGCGAATAGGCTCTAGATATGAAATACATTTTTTTAATGTAATATTAATTGTCATTTATCGAGAATTGTGAAAACACTCCTATCATTAATTAAAAATTTGAACTAAGCAAAGAATTGTGACGAGGTGTACAATAAGAAGTATAAGAAAATTCCTATAATGTACAAGCTCTTTATATATGTAATCTAGGCAACGTGAAATAAAATAAAATATTTCTTCAGCGTGATCTGGTCTTCCGCCAAAATGATTGCTCCGGCAGCCCTATTTAAACGTATAATGTCGGCAAAATTTTGGCCACAAGGCAGAAAGGGATCAGAGAATAATCAAATTTTGGCGAACAGGAATTGATCAATATTTGAAGACAAAGTTAAGATTTAACGCAGGCAAGACTGACCTTTTGCGAATGTGTATAAAAATTTATTAAACGCTTATATATCAGGTGAGGTTTTATAGAGACTAACGTTAGTCATCTTGGTAAAAAGTTTATAGATAGCCACCAAAATAAGAAAATTTGCATTATTTTTAGTTCATATCTGCTTATCTGCATCAAGGCTGACTTGTAAAAACATGAACAAAGTTTTTATAAACTAGCGTAGGTTACCCTGCCTGAGTTCCAAGTTACTGTAATTTCAGTTCAAGGCCATTATTTTGTTTTTTATAATAGTTTACACCATTATAACTGTGAATCTTTGAATTTATGTTGATAAACTGTTTCCTTACATTTTTTTTTTTCGTTTTCATTCCGATTCTTTTTAGCGAAACCAAAGCTTGCCATATGTTGGCTTTGAATTAGACACATAACGTCTTCCATACATAAATACGAATGTTAACCTTTGTTCGGACATTATCTGTGAAGTTATATAAACTATCCGCAAACTGGCGAATATATCATATCTTAATGACCTGCTCCCCCCTAAACTCGACATCCCAAAAATAATTAACAATAAATGAAGTTAGTGTATTTGGGTCAACCGAAAAGCAGGAAGCCTTGCCTACGATCACAAAGTTTGTTTGTTCGGTTCGTTGTTCAGGTCAATGGCGTAATTGGACAGTAATTTTTTTCTCCAAAATTCAATTGTACCGAACAACAGCTACAAATAGATACTGAGCTATTTAATCATTGGACTTTTTGGGGATGAAACAGTTTCGCGTGCATAAAATTTGGTATTTGGAAGTGTAGATCAGTAGTGTGTGTGTGTGTGTGTAGGAGCCAAAAATAAAAATCCTTCGTTCGATTTCAGCTCCTTACTTTAGTTTCTGAATGCGATAAAATATATCTGTTGAACAAGTAAAACGCCTACACTCGCACGACATATTTATATATATATGATGAGAATTAAATTTGGGGTTTTTGCTAATTATGCGTGTATCAATAAACCGATTGAATAGATTTTGCTATGTTGAAAGTTGATGTATGCGCGTAAATTACAGAAATAGACTGAAAAAATATTTACGCCAAATATTTGGGTAATAGCCTAGGGCACTTTAAAATTTGTTTACGTGCATCTTTTCGTATACAATTTTAAATCTAAAACTTACTTTATATGCATATAATTAAATTTATTTCGAAGCTAATTTCACAAATCAGCCATAGTTATCGCTTCAAAACATTGATGAAAGTTTCATGCGGCACTTGTATATTGGCAATTTGACGCATTTTTTTTTTACCTTCCGTTTGTTGTCTTAGCAATTTCATGCGTCGCGTCACATCCCCGCCATACTGTAATTGAGAATTTATATATGTTTAGATTGTTTAATTTTATGTTTGCTTGTAATGAATTTACCAATTTTGCCGTAACATCTTTGCGGTAGGCTTTAATCGTCTCTCTCGCCAATACTTTACTACCTACACAAGCTTGTATCGCTATTTGTACCATTTGTCTTGGTATCATATCCTTAAGTTTAGCAACTATATCTTTTCCCACATCTTTAGCTTTCGTTGCATGTACAATGCGAGACAATTCATCCACTAATTTTCCATTCAGATGAACATCCAAACGTACTAGATTGGTTAAATGATATCCATAGTCTTCATAGTTAAAACTAGCGTATCCGGAACTTAATGATTTTAAATGATCATTGAAATCTACGATTATCTCACTCAAGGGCAGTATATATTTGATAAGCATGCGATCGTCATCTATATTTGTGGAACTCTCCTGGATACCTCTACGCTCCACACATAAACTTATTATCTGCCCCAAATATTGATCAGGAGTCATTATTGTCCCCTTCACCAAGGGTTCGTAATACTCCTTTATATTAAACGGCTCAGGAAATAATGCAGCATTTGAAATTTCCATAATATCTTTACCCAGTTGCTTAATCATCTTCGGATTTTTTAGTAGCAATCGATATGTGACCGATGGTGCTGTGATAATCGGTTCTGCCCCATGCTCTTGTTGTAGTCGCTGACAAAAAACCTCCATATGTAAAAGACCTAAGAATCCTAAACGCCAGCCTTGACCCAAAGCTGGACTAGAATCCGGTTTTACAGTTACAGCGGAATCATTCAGTACTAACTTATCGATAGCGCTACGCAGTGCAACATGTTTTGATTGATCTGCTGGGAAAATGCCCGCAAATACCATTGGCTGTTGTGGCTTGAAGGTGCTAATAACTGAACATTTTTGATTCTTTAAATGTATGGTGTCCCCAATTATAGATTCTTTACTATTACGCATATTGCATGCAACTAAAGCCACTTGGCCCGCCGATCTGTAAATGAAATAGAATATGTCATATAGTAAAAAAGCTTATTCCGATTGAAGACTAACACTCACACGCAATTCACTTCCTTTTCATTTGGGCTTAGAATTGATATACTTTTCACAGGGTAAACTTTGTTTGTAGTTAATGACTGTATTTCTTCACCAACTTGCAATTTTCCATTGAGCAAATACATCAAATTTAAGGCACCGCGATAGCGATCAAACCAACTGTCAAACAATAAAGCTCTAAATGGAGAATTCCTGTCTACTTGTGGTGGTGGTATTGATTCTACGACTCTATCCAGAACTTCTGATACGCCAATACCTAATTTAGCGGAGACCTGAACAAGCGTTCACGACTATATCAAAAGTCTTTAAAAAATTTTTATTAAATAGTTAGTTACCTTTAAAACATCTAATGGATCAATGTTAAATAAACTTTTTAAATCTTTGCAAACTTTAGCTGGATTGGCATGTTTAATGTCGATTTTATTCAACACTGGCACAACGGTTAGATTTCTCGCTTTCGCTAAATGGTAATTAGCTACCGTTTGAGCTTGCACGCCATGACAAGCATCAACCAATAAAATGACACCATCGCAAGCTGCTAAAGAACGTGAAACCTCGTTCGAGAAATCCACATGACCCGGTGTATCAATTAAATTTAGTAAATATACGTCATCTCTGTACTTATGAAATATAGAGACTGTTTGCGCTTTTACTGTTATGCCCCGCTCTCTTTCTACTTGTAAATTATCTAATACTTGACTGCCCGAATTGCGTGATATAGCTCCTGTCAGTTCCAATATACGATCAGCCAAAGTACTTTTGCCATGATCAACATGAGCGATGATACTAAAATTTCTGATATTTTTTACCGCTATTTTTGCAAATTCATGTAAATTATGTTCGGCATTTAGATCCTCAGCAGTTTTGGACGACGAGTTCAATAAACGAATTGCCTGTGTACTTCAATTAAGTTTATTTATTGAATACATATATACAAACACATACAGACAATCAACTTACCGACAATTGAACAGTTTAATTTTTGATTTCCATAACGATATTGGTACCGTCGTCTTTATCATTTTCTTTAAGAATGTTCTCGCAAAAAAAAAAAAAAAAGCAATTATATGCCGGTTACTTCAGCTGACTCGTACACTTGAACTGAGTTTATACGATTTTGTGCGTGTTTTCATACTAATTAGCGTTTTTTATTTAGTTGTCGTTTTTTATCTCGCACACTTCTTATTGCTAATTAGTGATCAGTATAAAATGCTGGATAGCCGTTACGTTCCCTTGGGCAACTGCCCATCATCTTATTTGGATTGTTAAACTTATTTCCTTTGCCCCTATTTTATTGAGTTAGGCTCGCGAGCTCATTCTGCCTTATTGCCAGGGTATTTATTCTACATTAGTTTTTGACTTGGTCTTCAATGTCAGAGCCTTAGAGCCTTCGATTTGATGTATTTTATCAGAATTGTTAATGTTGAAATTGTTCTGCAGCAGAATTGCATTTGGTTTGATATATCAAATGATATGTAAAACGACTTATATATAATTTAATATTTTTGGAAAGAATGTTTCAATCCGAAAACCGAAATAACGAAATTGATTTAGGCAAAGTTTCCCGCTCATTAACTATGCGTTGAGAATTCAGCGAAGTATTGTATTGTATATGGTATTACAAACGAAATAAAATTTTCTGGAAATGGCAACATCTAAGTTTATTGAAATTGACGTTTCGCTGTATGAGGCTCAGATGAACTCTAAATATCTATGAATTCAATAATATGAAATTCAAATAATATGAAATTCTTTATATTTCTGCCGATATTAAATAAGAAAGCAATGTTGCTATTGTATCTTAGGAGATAACCCGACTGCGACAGCTTAGAAAAACTTCTTCAGACACCATACGCCATAGAAAATTTTAGAGACCTCATAAGAGACTTCGTAAAGTATATATAATCCCAATCGGCGTCAAATTTTAAATCAATTTAAGCATGTGCATCTGTCCATCTAGGCAATGTCTGTTGTAAGCATTCTCTTGGCCGACAAAAAAAAACTACCGACTTCAAATTTTGGTAGACACACTAGAAGTTCTTGCACTTGGTATTGAGGACGGAGTAAATTAGTCGAAAGACACGTCCATACTACCACATAAACTGAGAATACCTCTGCTTGTCAAAAGGAATGAAAAACTACTTTTTTGCTAATTATTCATAAACAATAGCAAAGCAATGTACAAAAATTTGAACGCGTATTCTATGGGCGATGATGTAGCACAAAAATGAAAAAAATTGACCATGCCTACCCAATATTACAGTATATCAAAATTTAATTAAAACAAGCTTCAAAAAATCCCATTAAGTATACAAATTCTTCGCCAGTTTGAGATCTTGAATGGATCTTAACACGTTCGCCTGTTCGTTTGTCCATCTATCTATTTGCACAACTGTCGAGTATATCTGGTAAACATTCTCCCGCAAAAGAGTTTAGAAGTGATCTAAACTTTTTAAAGGACTTGTCTACAATGCCCATGCGCCCATATGACAGAAACTTTTATTTCGAAAAAGGGAAAAAAATCAAACGAGCACACTGAAAATTTAGTTCGGTTAATTTTTTTGTCTTTTTGAAAAGAACGGTGATGGGTATAAAAAATTCGACCTTAACTCTGAGATATTCGAAAAATCGCTAAAGATTGCTCGATTTTTGTCACCTTATTGATTAGATGATCATAAGGATAGTTTGTGACTTTATGATAGAGTTTCCAAAGCGAATATTCATAAATTTATTTATTGAAAGAAAATTTAATTAGATTAACTTTTTTTTTTTTTTGTTTTGAAGATTTACCTGTTCACTTCCTTTAAGTGAAGAGGAGTGCATTTATTGGTAAAAAAACATAACTGCCTAAGTATCTTATGTATGTATTAAGAAAATTTTTAAACTTTGAATTTTGAAAGAAGAAGATTTTCTCTTCTTCTTTTTCGAAATATATAAATTAAAAAGTTAGTTATAAATTCGAATTTCAAATAAATCAAGTCAGGCTGTTAAACTTTTTCACCAATTGTTGCACGTAAATTGGGTATGTTTTGTATTACATACATCCATATATATATATATATATATATATTGTATTGTATATAATTAGCTTATAAAGTATTAAAATTAAACAACAATTTCATGTCATTAAATTACATTAATAAAACTGTGTTTGTAACTAAAAACAATTCGCCTTAAGACGAATCTTAAATACCCATCATTAGCTAAAGCTTAGTATTAATATACAAGTTATTTGATATGCGTTGCAAACAGATATACAGGAAGGATATACGGATTTTAGTCATATGAAATGATGAATTGATATTAGATGGACAGATCTGACAGTTATGACTGAAATGTGAATTTTATTTTATTTGGATTATGAGAAAGTTATTTCCAAGGTATAACTAATTTATCAAATTGTTCTTCGATTTTTTTTTACAATTTTCGTTGGCGGATGTTTTTTTTTATTTTTTGTAATAATAATACCAATAAATATGAGATGGACATGTCTAAATTAAGTCAAAATCGTCTGCTCATCGAGTTGGTTATGTTATTTAACAAAAAAAAAAAAAAAAAAAAAAAAAAAAAAAAAAAAAAAAAAAGTGGTTATGATTATTCTCCGATTGTGTGCAGAAAATGGAGTCCGTATAGTTATAGACGTAGCCCGCAAATTGATTATTGGCTTGTTTAACAAACGGTTTTGGAGTGAAATTTTCATTTTCTTCAGTCCTGTGTCACGTTTGTAAATACGATGTAAATATTACAAGATTTTGGAATAAAAAATAATTATTTTTGTTTAATTAATACACACAGAAATAGGAATATATATATATAGTAGATATATATATAGTAGATGAACGTAAGATTTCTTCTCGAATTAAGTTTCATTCGTTCGGCGGCAATTGTTAAAGTTATCGCGATTATAACAATCGATGATATTTGAAACATATCACGATTGCGCAGACGATTCCTTATATTTGCTAAGAACTTAGACAGTCGAATTGCGGCAAATACAAGCTCGCTTAAAATTGTTTGGAAATATTGATTTAAACCTTACAGGAAATAGTCCCAAATCTGTATTGCTTATTAATCCTAACTTTAATGATGGACTTAATTGAACTTGGCCAGAAATACATTCTATAGTAGTATATATGAGCACACTAAACATTCCTACAATTTTTTCTTTTACTATTATTATTATTATTATTATTATTATAATTATTATTATAATTATTATTTTTTATTTTATATCTTTTGCATCTTTCGATTATTGCTTGACAAAAACAAAAATAAATATATTTTTAACAAATAAAATAATCAATCAAGAGAAAACACTTCTTCGACATAGCATAGAGTATGAATGCATAGTAAATAATTTTGCAAGTTGGATAATATAAAGTGAAGTTATAGATTTCGAAAATGTCTTACAGCAAGATCGACTGGTAATTTAAAGTCATATTTATATAGCGTCTCAATCGATCGTAAAGCATCACGGAAACCAGTGCGTGATACATAACTTGTGGACAAATAATATGTTTCAATCAAATCGCTGCAGCTAAATATCAAATTAAGCCAATCCACTAATTGATGCGAACTGCAATTCAATATTAAAAAAAGGAAAATAAGGCCTTTCAAATAACTTTTTCATATATATTTTCCGATATAACGTAACTTACTTTAATCCGGCGCAAATAAACGCCTTAAAATGGGCATTATAGCTTCGTTTATAGGGCCGATGCATAGCGATAATTGCGCCGACAGCGCTTAATAATGTCTGCTTGGCCGTTACAGCCTGTGAATCGACAATTTCTAAATTGAAGCTTTGCGATAACTTACGCGCCGGCGTATTATTATAATCATCGCCGTTTTTAATGTAATAATATTCTAATATCAACTCCCAAGCATGCATAGGACGGCTGTTAGCTGAATTGAAAAAACCGGCATTTGAAGAGGTATTGTCTGCATTCTCGGTTTCCTCGTTGCCAAACGGAGAAGCCGTAAAAGAGGCGGCATCAAAATCGCGAGCCCGATAATTGTGCTCAGCCACATATTCTGGGGACGGATTTAAACAACGCATAAATGGCACAATTAAACTGGATGCTACCGATTCAGTCTGAATACGCAGACCGTGCTGAATTAATTTTAATAATGTCATCGCAAAATTTTTACGCACAGCTGTAGTCAATTCTTTACTTAATGTGGTAATTGAATCTCCTCGAAATCGAGCGCACTGAGCCAAACGTCTATTATGTATTTGAGACATATCGTATGAATCGCATTCATCCTCATCCGAATCCGACGACAATCTGTACGGTTTTAATTGCTTTTTGCTGGCTGCGATTGGAGCAGTTGTTAAAATTCCGTTGTATGTATGATTACGTTTTGTAACAATTTTTGATTTTTTCATGGCTTTATGCATTTTAGCCAGCTTCTCACGATCAAAACTTAAGGTAGCTGCTAACGAAGCGACCTCTTGTATGTCGACTTCAAGCTGAGCTCGTAGATCACTGAAAAAAAACGGAATAACAACAATTAAAAAAAAATTCTTATAAATTTAATTCGCATTATTAAGGATGTATATAATTGAAAACAATTAAAAACATTATAGTCGAGCCACGCTAACCATTAAATACCCTACACCACATTTTTTAGCATGGAATTCTTAATTTTGTATGAAATTCCTGTTGTGGGTCAATTTCCATCACCACTTGTTAAAAGCTAAACTTTCCTGCTCTACACTGGGTCAATTTTCGTGTAAATCGCTATTAGGGTAGGATCCAAAAAATAGGCCAACATACTCCAGATTTGGTATACTTAATCCTTTTTTATGTTAAATTACTGTAACGATATAATTTTCATACCTTTTTGCCATATCAACTTCAGTTTTCGTTGTATGAGAGAGGGTTCAAAAATTGCCCCAGCCAGTCCAAAGTTTTCATATCAATTTAGAATGTCGAAATACTAGTACTTAACCACTTTTGTCGAGAAATTTTGAAAATTACAATATTTTCCCGCATAACGACTTTCCAGAATAGGGCGTTATATAGGGTGTCATCAAAAAAGTGTAACCGAATCTGTACCATTTTCAATAGCGCTCGTCCTTGTTCAAAAATGCGCCACTGTACCAAATTTCATCGAAATATCTCAGAAATTGCGACTTGTTGCTTGAAGACAAATTTACATGGACCGACATCAGACGGAAAGACAGGCTTAGATCAATTCGGATTATGACTCTGAAGCGATCCATACAATAGAAGGTGGGTCTAAACCTAAGCTCTTCTGCATGTTACTTATGACCGCACTAAGTTCCTATATCCTGTATCACCAAGTGGTGTAGGGTATATTGAATATATTTTCAACTTACTGAAAATTAGAGATGTAGGTCTCTCTTTATTTGACTTACTATTTTGCACTTTTCATTCGTTATAGCATATGCATCCATATACATAAAATAGGTAAGAGAGAAAGGTTGGGCATAAGCCGAAGCATTTGCGACATAAACCAAGTAAAAATTGAATCATTGGCATAGGATTAGAGATGCATTTTGCACCGATAATACAGATTCATTTAGAATTCGAGACAGTATTCCAAAAATTTTGCGTAAATCCTCTCTAGGCCTAGCTCCAAATATCTCATAAAATCATGAAATAAAACAAAATTCTTCTAACCTATATAATCACACATCTGATCCTTCCTATTTACTATTTACTCAAAATAGAGGTATAAAGTCGTTGTCCTAGATTTGGCTCTCATGCAAGCAGGTGTAACATTTTCACATAATTTATTTCGCTAATAACCTTATCCACTATTCTTAAGTATTTTGAAGAACTAAAATTATCGGTTTCCCATTTTTAAACATTAATGCTTTTCCTAAGAACGCTGGCGAGACCTGTGAGATCGGCGAGATCGGTGAGCGATATAAAATTGTGTATATATGCAGTTAAGGTCAAGCTTGTACTTCATTTGTTCGACATTCGATTGACATGTGCGTGAATGAAAAAACAGCTACGAGCTAAGCTTATCGAAATTTTCCAGAAGAATTATACGTAAACGCAATAATATTAACGTAACGATCTTATTAAAAATTTATTATAGAGTACATCGAGAGAAAATCGTTAACTTCGTTTTAATGATCGTCATAATGGCATTTCCTTTACCCTTAGCGCAATTCTCGAATTTATAAATAAAAGTAAATTTGCTACCTTCATAGCTACAATTAATAATAGCATATTTATAGGAGAATATTTTAAATTCAAAGAAAAATCCGCATAGTCGTAGTACAGTTTGATAGTGATATGTAATGGGATCGAAACGAAACCGCGAAAATAATATATGTTGACATTCACTTATTTAAAAATGTGTTTTCATGCATTTTTTGATAATTTTATATCACTTCACTTACCCCCAATGATTTCCTTTATCCGTCTTCTTTAAAATATTCTTTTGGAAGTGCTCAGGCTTGCTGCCAAAATGGGTGCTAGCAAACATTTGCATTAATAGCGATGCTTTATCCATTAGACCGTGAGCTTTGCTATGAAGACTTTCGCGAGCTCTTACAGCTTCTGAAGTAGGAGCCGAAGCTATCATTTTCTCGGTTTTTGCGTCAAAACTACGACCAACATCATCAATGTCATGTTCCACGGTATTTGCAGCTTTTTGGATATGCTTTTTTTTTTTTTAGCCGCATAACTGTTATAGGCTTCGGTCATTTTTTCGCCTGTGTTAAAGGCTTTCAGTTTGCCTTCATCGGTATCACACTGCAGAAACGCAATAAATCGCTCCAAATCGGTGATTTGTGTTTTTAATTGGGCTACTAATTGCTCTTTCATTTTTAGTGGTCCCACAAACTCACCAATCGCAGTGTCAACATGTGACTTGAGCTCTTCTGCTGTAAGTTCGGGAAGTTTATATTCGTCGACTTTAAAATTGAGTTTTTGTTTTAATTCATCGATAATGATTTTCTGCTTTTCAAGTATCATATGTTGCGGCAGCACTGGAGCACCGGACTCATAAGCCAATTTCTCCAATTCAATTAACTGTGACTTTAAATGATGAATAAGTTCAAATTGACGTTGATGTAAAGCAACGTCATCGTCGCCGTGTTTTATATCTGAATTAGAAGATAATGCGGAAGAACAACGCTTTGGGGCAGTGGTAATTGCAGCAGAAGCCTCTGGAATGCCACGAAAAGCGAACTCCTCTAGATCTTTAAGCAACTGATCACGTTCCTGGGATGGAGCCTCGACAATTTGCTGTACCCTCAATTGAACATGAGCAAAATGTGAAGTTAGAGCCATTAGGGATGTAGTAAGAAATTCTTGTTCTTCCTCCAAAGTTTTTAAGCGTGTTATGTCAGTTACCAGTTCAGTATTTTCATAATCAAGTTTATCTTGATTGTCCGAATGGCTTAGCAAATCCAATTCAGATTCCGGGCTTAATAATTCTGAGGAAGGACTTACCGCATCATCATAATTAGCACCCAAAGGTGACCAACGTTCGCTTAGAGGTTGTAAGCCTTCATCGAAATCATTTTGGCCATCAAAAAGTGCAGATGTGTCTGCATTTGAAGCAAGCAGCTGTTGCTTCTCTGAGGAAGAGTCTGCAGACTTTGCATCAATAATTATAGCGCAATCCTTGACTCCAGTCTCCATTTTACAATTGTCATTTTCGCGAATTAACTCTTCCAGCTGTTGATTGTTATTGTCAACATCATAGACATCAGTAACGGTGGTAATGATACTTTTAATTGCATTATTACTATTTTTTTGATCCTCCAAAAAGTAGTCATTGGAAATTTCACCAATTTCACATTTTTCTTTTAATTTTATATCCATTTGTTCACAATTCATGCTATTCATCTTAAATATGAAGCATTAAAAATTGATTCATTAATAAAACCGAATTTGGCGAATATTTTTTTCTGAAAAAATCGATTATATTTCTTTCTAACTGATTATGTATACGTGCATATACATACATACATACATACATACATATATAGAAGAGCTACTTAAAGAAGTAATCCTTCTTCTAATAATATTGCAACGGTAAGAAGCAATTACATATAATCGATGTTTTTGCAGTAGTCGCGGCAATCATCATACATTTAATATAAGAATAACGGCAGCCCTAGCTATAAATCAGCTGTCTTTGTGTTCGTAAGTATTTTTAATTTTTAACATTAAAGGAGGACACTTCATTAAGCATTAATTTTCAAAGTGTAACGATTAAAATATATAGTTTTTTTTTTTTATTTAAATTCGTTTGATAAGAATTTCGGACATTTTAAAAGGCATGGCGACGCGGCGCTTGGTTTTATCAATGTATCGGAATTTGTTGCGTGAGGCAGAAAAGCTGCCCACTTATAATTTTAGGTAACATAGTTGATTCAATTGTTGTACATAGTTGTACAATTTTTCTAATTATTGAAATTATTTGTAGAATGTATGCTTTACGCAAAATCAAAGATTCATATCGGGAAAATAGTACAATCAGCGATTTTGATAAAATCAAAGAATTGGTTGGAGTGGCGAAATACAATCTTGCTTTAATTAATCGACAGGTGAGTGAGCGTTTAACAAATGAACATGCCTGCATAGGATTGAGCAAGCATGCATATCTTCGCTTCGTTTTTGTTCTAGAGATTCTAGGGAAACTCCGGCACATAATTATATGATTTGCTTGTTAAACTTGATTTTTTTTTTTTTTCTTTCAAATGAATAGAAGGAGGAGGGCATACGTTAGTAGATTCTCTCAATTTGATTTTTTTAATTGCGCTTGATCACATAGTGAAGATTTGTTTGTTTATTTCCATTGTAATTATTCTAAAATGATCTAAGAATTATACGGTTATTTTCTCAAATCTGTTCTTAACAAATCGAAGAATATTTAAATAAGAAATTTAAGTTTATCTCACTTCAAGATCAATCAATGATCAAATTTGGCAATTAAATCTGGACAGCAGATTTTGATTCATTAAACAATTAGCATCTCTATGAGATTTATAACATTTCTTGCTATTAGAGTTAAGGGGAACACAAAATATTCCTTATTGCCCCCTTAGAAGTGGATCTAAATATTGTTACGACCGCTGACGAATGATAGAAGTAAGTAAGTAAGAACTAATACATTATACATGTTGATTCCTAGGAAAGGACTTCACGATTTAGCAATGGCTGTGCGTCCTTGAAAAATTTGTTCTAGATGAAACATAACTTCCATCTACCTACTCGTAACATCTAAATTCAGTCATATATATATATGTATATATATATATATATATAGATACATACATGAGTATGTGAAACGTATCTTCAACGTATAAATATATATATATATTCAACGTATGCATATATTTGCACCGTATCCAGTATATGATGATAAATGAAATTTGTCTTTTGTTAAAATTGAGCGAGAAATTGAAATACTGTTCGAAGTTGTCTCTTGATTCTTAGTTGGGTGTAGTTTTATTATGGTAGATTTTTAAGAAAGCCGAATTGAGATAAGTAGAATACTTGGAAACGCTTTTTTGAGAAAAAGTTCTGATCGCAAGGAATGTTTAGTTATTATATCGGTTAGCGATTCCCGAGACTAACATATAAATGTCGTCTGTAAAAAAAAAAATTTCTATTATTTTTCGAAATTACCAATTACCGGGGGAGAAGAAGTATATACAATGATATTAGGCGAAATATTTTTATTTGCAAAAATCTGATTGACGTACGTTGATTAAACATATTATATTTTGATTGGAAAAAGACCAATTAAAGTCAGGATAAGCCCTGTGAAATGGTGTCTCTCTGTTCCGCTGAATATATATATATCTTTATTATTTTTATTATTATTGTAATGTTGGATGTTGGTTGGGCTTTTCGAATTTACTATAAATGCTTAACCAAATTTGTATTGTGTGTATTAGAAACCTTATAAAGTATAAGGGTCCTTGGTCCGTACAAATTAAAGAATCAGTTTTGCTATGTTCACTTGTTTGTCATTTAAAGTTAACTGTTGTCACTTTAAAATTTGGCTTAGAAAAATAAAGTGACCTAAAATTGTTTTTTTTTTTTTTATTCTTTATATATATAGATAGTTTTCGGTTGATCTATGATATATATTTTTTTTCTTTTGTTATTATTTTGGTATTATATCAATTTCACTTTATCTTTCGTGCATTTATAAAAGTTACTTTTTACACTTTTAATCATTTCTAATAAAATTTCACAATATTTCTTCCAAAAATTAAAAAAAAAAAAAATTATCATTTTAGGTGATCATTGGACACTTGTATTCAGCTGAAAAACTAGTTATTGAAAAGAAACCGACCTTGGATCCTCTTGAAGATTGAGCCACATAAATATATGCATACATATATACATATAGAAATAGTCGCACGATTGCATAATTTTGTTTCAGTACTTTTGTTAAAATGCAATTAAGCTTAAAAAATTTAAAAAAAAAGTAATGAAATTGTTGAACTTAATAAAGTTAATAAAATTTAATAAGCGAAAGTCAAATAAAAAAAAAAATATATATATATATATATATTCATTGTAAATATATGAAAACAATGAAAACAACTTTGTTAAGCTTGATACGTAGTGGCTGAGATATCACCGCCTGTGCCCGTCCAATTGGTGTGCACAAATTTGCCCTCTCCGCCTAACAGTTCATAAGTGTGAGCACCGAAGTAATCACGTTGAGCCTGCAATAAATTTGCTGGTAATCTGCTAGAGCGATAGCCATCATAAAAAGATAATGCTGTGGATAAAGCGGGCACCGGAATACCCCAGAGGCAAGCTTTCGATACTACATGACGCCACGATTGTTGGCCTGATTGTATGGCCTTCTTAAAGAACGGATCCAATAGCAAATTTGACAAATTCGCATTGCATTCATAAGCTTCTTTTATATTGCCTAAGAAAACGCTAAATAAAATAATTGTGATTAAATAAATTTCGAAGAAAAATCGTTAATTATATGCTTTTATAAATTACCTTCTAATGATGCAGCCTCCTCTCCACATTAGAGCAATGCCGCCATAATTTAAATGCCAATTATTTTCTTTGGCCGCTTCACGCATTAACATGAAACCCTGTGCGTACGATACAATTTTTGAGCAATACAAAGCGTGCTTAATATCATTGAGGAATGCCTTCAAATTATCCGCTTTAATTACAATTTCTGGACCTGGCAAGTGTCTACTAGCTTTTAAACGTTCTTCCTTAAGAGCTGATAGGCAACGTGAAAATACAGCTTCGCCGATTAACGTAACAGGTATGCCGTATTGCAGTGCAGCTATCGCAGTCCATTTACCCGTACCTTTTTGACCGGCTGTATCACGGATACGTTCCAGCAAATAACCCTTGTCATCTTTGTACTTCAATATATCGGCTGTGATTTCAATAAGAAAAGAATCCAATTCTTCATTATTCCATTGAGTAAATTGTTTTGAAATCTCATCAGGTTGTAAACCTAGACTATGCATAATATGATATGCTTCGCATATCAATTGCATATCACCGTATTCGATGCCATTATGAACCATTTTCACGAAATGGCCAGCGCCTCCCTCGCCTACCCAATCGCAACACGGTTGTCCATCTACTTTAGCGCATATGGCTTGAAAAATATCTTTAATCAAGGGCCAAGCGTCCGCGTTGCCACCAGGCATAAGCGATGGACCATAGCGAGCTCCTTCCTCACCCCCACTTACACCTGATCCCACAAACAATAGGCCCTTATCTTTCAATTCATTGCAACGTCGTGCGGTGTCCAAATATTCAGAATTGCCTCCGTCAATGATAACATCGCCAGGTGATAATAACGGTATTAGTTGTTTTATAAAACTATCAACTGCTTGGCCAGCTGTAACAGAAAGAAGACACTGACTTATTAGCGGAAACAGCTATGCGAACGCGAAATGTAATTTTAGTTTAATCTAACGACTCCTTCTATTTGTTACGAGCTAGCTGCACTTATCAATTACGTAGGCAGAGCAAATTCGATCAACAGGTGTTACCGGTTGAAATTATCAGCTAAACATCTTTTCTTTTTTCTCTTTTTTTCTGTTTAACGACAAGCGATAAAAGTCATCAAAATCGATAATAGAACCTACTCGACTGGGATTGGGCACTATCAACAAATATAACCGTATGACGTAATCGTATAACAGGATTAAAAAAATCTTCGTTTGAAGTAAACGTACATTAACACTTGATTAGATCTAAAACCGTGTGTGTGTGCGTGTGTGTGTGCGTGTGTATATGTGTATTTACAATTAAGTGAATGGAATGGCATTGTTGCAATAACAAAGCCACATGCCCATGACCTCTATGTATGTATGTATGTACGTACATGTGCATTTTTACCATACGCATAACTAGATATTTGCTTACCCTTCACTAATAGCATAATTTTGCGTGGAATTTTCAATTTACTGATCATATCCTCTAATGAATTGGCACCAATGATTTTTGTGCCCATGGCTTCATTGTTAAGAAAATGCTGAATCTTTAAATTAATGAGCAAAAATTTTATACGATTTGAACGTTAACGTTATGGATAAGATTTAATGCTTATGTTAACTCACTTTATCAATGGTACGATTATAGGCACATACTATAAAACCTTTCGAATCCATATTCAAAATGATATTCTGACCCATAACGGCCAAACCAATTAAGGCTATATCGGCTTTCCTTTAAATTAAAAATTCAAAACATTTAATATTTTGTTTATTTATTTAAAAAAAAAAAAAAAAAAAAAAAAAACTATGAAAGTATGCTAAACGTTAATTCACTAATATCCCTTACTTACGGTGACATTATTTTTATAAAATATTTGCACTTTTTTTGAACGTTAAAGTTGCGTTTACATGCAAGTTCGCTCGATTACTAAACACATTGAGTATGATTTCTATCGATGAACATTCATTTTGAACATTAAAACATATCAAATTCTAGCTGAGTAGATTATTTTTCTTGTCTTAATGAACAGCTGAGCTTGGCAATAACTTTGAAACTTTGTTTTTCCTTCTCCGAAACGTTCCGTGAAAGTTTTAAACGACTTTTGTTCACCCTTTCTTATATCTCAATGTGTTCATGTGTTGGTCAGAAAGCAATTCAACTATTTCGTCTTTTTTTTTTCCCTATTTCAAGTAAATATAATTGATATGAACGAAAGAGATAGACAGATAGATAGATAGATAGATAGAGAGAGAGAGAGAGAGAGAGAAAAAGAAAATAATGAAATATTTTTAAAAATTGGCATCAGAAGGCCTACAATTATGAATGTAAGTGATGACGTCGCTCTTAGTTAAGTAAAAATTTTCAAATTTCAAAAATATAACTTGCATTCACTCATTCATTCATTCATTCATTCATTCATTTAGGGTATATTAGGATTAGTGAAACTATCGTTATCTCTTGCGGTGATGAACTAAATGAATTAAAGGTCGCGTTAACAGTTTCGCCTTAATCGATTGAACAAAACCGTTAAAGCAAACCTCATCTCGCTGCCTCTAATGAAACGATTATTTGTGTCGAAATTGTTAACCAACGCGACCGTTACACTCAAAACTTTGTAGAGAGTAAGAGAAGTGAAGAATATAAGCAAAAATATTGTTGCTCTGGATTTTTCGAATTTCGAAGACGTTATTAGGTCCTGATATATTTGTTGCATACAAATTTCTGATATTATTCTCAATTTTCGCGTCATACATCACTTGTACAAGGTAGAAGGATGCACTAAATTTGTGCAGATGTACACAACACCCAGAGAACGGGTTTAAGATAGACAGACATTTTATTATTATGCCAATCGATGTAGAAAATGATTTGAAGTTTGTGCGTCTGTTGATTCGTTCGTCCGTCCGTCCGTCTTGTTTTCTCATGTTCAACGTATAAGTCGCAATCTTTGAGATGTTCGATACATAGATATGTTTTAGCCCAAGGACGAACACTATTGAAAATGGTATAGACCATACCACTTTTTCGGACACTTTTTTTACAACACCTTACTTTATATGGAGGATGCCAGGCTAGGTCTCGCTCTAGTATGGTTTTTTAATATCTATAATAATTTTACAAACGTAATCCTTCCATAGTAATAAGAGTTCGAAATGTATATTATATTTTCGGACAAAACTGTTCAAAATATAAAAAAAAAAATTATTTTGTATTTGTAATTCTCTCGAGAACTAAGTTATCATTATTTTGCCTAAAATAGAAATATCATAAAATAGTTACACACTCTTAAACTCTGATTGCACTATGGATAGCTTCTAAAAACCTATTTTATTGTAGAGATTGCGATTCTGATGGCGTTAGTTGGAAACTGTTACACCTTTTTTGGCGTCTGATCTTTTGATAATAATCCGAGCAAAATGTACTCTAAAACTTTAACTGCTCAAGTCACTTGATATAGCTATTTATTGTTTAAAAAAAAAAAAAAACAAGTGAAAAACACTATGATGGGACACGACTCGTCGTTAAATACCCTAAAGCCATTTTGCTTAATATTGTTAATCATACAACGACTTTTCAAAATAAGATTTTATAAGGGATGTGGTTCCGAACAATTTTCAATAGCGAACATCATTGGAACAAAAACTCTGTTTGTGAAATGAAAAAGTTTCGTCAAAATATTTCAAAAATTACGATCTGCAGATTGAACAAAAGAAAACAAACGATGAGAGGACAGACGCATAGATAAGTTTCGATCAATTCAGAACCACTATCGATATAAAAAAAGTTGGATCTTTCTCAAGTGTTTCTAGGTGTTGCACACATCCGTACAAACTTAATACACTTTTGCATCACAGAGTAGTGTAACGTATAAGAATCGAAAATTAAACGCATTTTATATGTGTTTTGTTTACTTTAAGGTTTTTTTGTTTTTTAGCTTTTTTTTGTTTTTTTTTTTTTGTCAACTTTCTTTTTCTCATTTTTTTTTCACTCTAACCCTATGTTACGAACTATGTTATCGAATTGTATTTCATTTCACGATTACCTTAACCTATAATAAACTGATGTTTTATAAAAATACAAGTAAATCAAATATTAGTAGAAGTAGTATAATTAGGCAAAGCATTAGCCGTATACACACATACAATACATAATAGGTGCTTGCATGTATTCTGATCAATTTTGCATTTGAAAAAGGCATTTATTTATTGGGGAAAACTGCTACAACATATACATATTAATCAAAATATTCTCCAGCACTTGCTACAACTTTTCCTCATCTTTTTGGAAACATGGTTAGACCATCGTGTCGTGAGAATGATATTGTTTTGGCAGCGATATAATGCATTGATCCATTTTTTCATTTCTTTAGCATGGGTGAGATAGAATTTCCCATTTGAGCTGCGACAATGCATCCTTAACAACTCTTGCAACATGTAGTCGAGCGGTGTCGTACAAGAGGATGACTTTGCGTCTGTTAACTGACATTGCTGGTTTCCTTTTTGCAATAAGACATCGTTCAATTTACTTAACTGACGTCGGTAGACATTTGGTGCAATAGTTTCATTCGGTTTTAGCAGCTTCTAATACGCTGCACCTTACTGATCTTGCCGAATGCATAGGAAACCTTTGCGGCTATGAATATTTCGCAGTCACAATACGTCACAGAACTTTTTTTATCCGACAAGCAATGAAACCGCGATGTTGTTGTAACGATTCGAAAAGCCATTTTCAGTCATTTTACCCCTTCCTATGGATCTTTCCCATCGCATGTAAACGTCTAGAAAAGTGTTGGTAAATTGTTCGAAAATTCTTTGTGAGTTCGATTGGGGTTTTCTTCCAACAAATCTACGAACTTTTTTGATCCTCCAGGTTGTACCTTTGTCATGCAGACCAAAATTACCGCATTTTGAACCGTTGAAAGCAAAGATGACAAATGGTATATGATGGAGCAACATCACCGCGAGCTTCTAAGACTCTTTGATAGGCTTCGTCAGCATATTTTCTTCAAGCTAATGCTAAATGGGAAACTGTTATGTAGATATATAGAGACATGTGTACATTGATACTTTACATATCTATGTCATCTTCACCGATAGAAGTCCCTGATCAAAATGCATGGAATCACGTAATATATTAGAAGTTTTTATTTACCTAGATTAATGGTGTTTTCACGAACAAAAATCTCGTCAAAAATTTTTATCAAGAGGTGACAAAATCCAATATTGATTTTAAGATCTTGTGCGCGAACGTAAAATGTTTATCTTTGTGATACAAAGAGCACTTCACACCTTCCCATCGAACTAATCCCTTTAAGCTTTAAACAACTTTATAAATTTTTGATCCATAACACGATACTTACGGCAACGGAAACGACATGAGACTATATATGTGATAGAATGTCCAATCGAAGGAGTCATAGTAGACCCAATAATTAGATTGTGCCCTTGTAAGTTCTTTTTAATGCCAAGGTGATAACCTTGCAGTAGCATGCTAGTAAACATCTACGATAATATATATATATATATATATATATATATATAATGCATCAAAAATAAGTTCGTATGGGTGACAAATCCATACGAATATGTGTCAACCATCAAACGGAGTGTGCCTAAATTTTATGACATGAGAAGTGAAACACTGATAGTCTGTAAAGGCATTACCAGTCACTTACCAATCGGGCGCATCAATTGGGCGCCCATGATTGCGGCGACTCCGTATCTATGTCCCCACACTGCGTTCATCTGATCGTCACGTATACGTATAGACGATCTTCCGTGAGTAGAGCGAAAAAAAAAAAAGAAAAAGTAATGATGTACGGATCACAAGGGTCTGCTGACACTGACTAAAGAAAAAACGAATTGGTTAACGCGGATATTGAATTTTTTTTTTTTTAACCTCATTTAATTTTATTGTATCGTATTATTTACAATTTTAAAAAACTCAAGATATTTTTCAATTCAAAACTTTATACGGATTTAATATGCCACTTGGGTCCAATAATTTCTTTACTTCACGCATCATTGTGATGGCTTCGGAACTTTTCGAATATTTTAAATAATTTTTCTTTGTAAAGCCGATACCATGCTCAGCGCTTACGCTACCCTTTAACTTGGCCGTATGCTCATATATAAACGGTTCGATGCGTTCATATAGCTCTCTTGAGTATTCCTCACAAGATACATTCAAATGAAGATTAGAGTCCCCTAAGTGACCGTAACCGCATACACGTTTCGCCAATTTACCAACATGTCCTTCCAAAACCGGAACAATATCGTAGAACGAGCGTAACGGCAACGATATATCATATTTGAAGCAGAAGCCATCTCTGATCAATGCTGTTGGTATTAGTTCGCGTAATTTCCAGATTTCCTGAATTTTATTCACTTCATTAGTGACTGTACCGTTAAGTATATCACCGCTATTCATACAGTGTTCTAAAAAGAAATTCAATTTCTCGGAATCGTGAATGGCATTACTTCCAGACGTTTCGATTAGCATATGGAACGGATAGTTTTCAATAGGCGATCTAAAAAGAATAAAAATTTCAAATTCAAAATATCGATAACAATCGATAAGAGAATTGACTTTAAATTATATTGTTTGACACTAGCATCAAGTGACCTCTCGTCAATTAATTCACAGGCAGATAAAATCTCACCCAAATATCGTTTAGCATTTAAAAAGGTTTTCAGTACACTATCAAACGAATTTAAGCCTAAAAAGTGTAGAGCAATTAAGATAATTTGATACCGAGTTGAGAGTTTAGAAGATTGAAATTGAAACGAACCAACGAAGGCAACGTGCACTGAACTCGATACAGTTTGGCAGAGTATTGCCAGTTTAGTAATAATACCGAGAGTACCTTCGGAACCAATAAATAAATGCTTGAGATGATAACCAGTATTGTCCTTTTTAAAATTCGACATTAAATCTAATATTGTACCATTGGCCAGCACCTAAGATGAAATATGAGAGATTTGGAACTGGAAAACTGAAAATATATTTATTTTTAATAACAGTTAACTTACAACTTCCACGCCCAATACGGAACCATGTAAATTTCCATAACGTAAAACCCGAAGTCCGCCTGCGTTTGTCGATAGATTGCCGCCAATATGACAACTGGATTTTGCACCCAAATCGATCGGTACCACCAAACCTTTTTCTCTTGCTTTCGCATCGAAATTCTCCAAAATACAAGCGGCTTCACACGATGCTATACCAGTTATTTCATCAATATTAAGAACTTTATTTAGACGAGCCATCGATAAAATAATTTCATCGCATACGGGTACTGCCCCACCCACCAAACCGGTATTACCACCCTGCGGGCACACAGCCAAATGACGTTTATTACAATACTTTAAAATTTCAGAAATTTCTTGCGTTGTACCGGGTCTTAGAACCAACTTACTATTGCCTCGCACGCTACGCAAAAAATCCACATTATAACACAACAAATCATCTGTACCAGCATCTTGCAGAACATATTGAGCACCCATCAATGAACCGAAAAAATTTACGTCCTTATCGTCAACAATTGCATAATTATTCCGTTTAACGTTGTAATGTTTCTACGAAAAAGCATAAGATAAATAAATGAAGGAATAAATTAATTGTCGCCGCATGAGTAGCTGCGTAAGCAAAATATCGCAATTAATACCTTAATGGTCGCGGGCCCAAATCTCAAGTGCAGTAGAGTTTTCAATACAGACACTCGAGCATACATGATCGACATTATCTGACATAATCGTTACGTTTTACATCAAAGAATTGCGTAACTGAATTTGCCAAAGTGTTCGTCAGATCGGGCAGTGGATTTTTGGACTCTACATGAGTAGTCGAGTAATTAAACAACCCGACTATCAAATCAATGTTCCCGAGTTTAAAATCTCAAGAGTGGTAGATTTTTGCTTTGCTATCAGTTATAGTGCAGAGCTTAGTTTAGGTGTAGATAAAGATATCACACTTACCGATCGGACACACAGACGTACTAGGTGGCCGTACCATTCTTGTCGCCTTCTCTTCGCATTTGCATAATTTTTGATCAATTATTACGAAAATGTGTGAGTGACTATATTTAAGCGAAGTAGTGTAGTGTAGGATATCTAATCGTCGGCCTTGCCCGACTATAACGTTCTTACTTGTTTTGCGATTAATTAGACGTGAATAATGCAACATTGCCATGTTTCAGTTTGTGTGTGTGTGTTTGCTCTCCGAAAAGAAAATAAAATGCAGCTCTCCGTTGCAAACAATGGAAAAGAAGGCAAATATTTGATCGGATAACAAGTGCGAAAGTGGTTTTTTTCGTCTGTGACATTACAATAGAATGCGTAAATATTAATTTTTGCGTTGTGTTGCTTTTGAGAACACAAAAGTAACATTTGCATTGTGGCAGTGCCCTTCGATCGGTCCGACCCAATTGCAATGTCGACGGCTTTCAATGTTTTTGCAATATTTGAAGACGACACACGGATAGACATGCTTAAAATGATTCAAAATTTTATACGTTTTGTCGGTCGTAGGTACCGTAGCAGCTACATATATGGAACGGATATATAGGGATCTGTGTTATGTTGCTTATTCCTTATATAGTCAATTTTTTTTTTTTTTCTTCTTTTCGTACCCATCACCGAAGAATAACTTGACACTCTTGACACTTTGTCAAAACGAATCGACGTAGGCACGTCCGTCTGTCTGTCCGTCCGCGAAATGTCTATTGTAAATATTCTCCTGGCCACAAAAATAAAGCCATCAACTTCAAGATTGGCAGGTCTTGCGCGCAAGTTTGTGGTCCAAATCGGTCGAAGGACCCGCCTAAAGTATCTCGTATACTAAGAATACCTGCGTTTTTTAAAAGGTATAAAAAAATGGTCTGTTGCCCATTACTCATAAACTAGAGCTACCGCGAATAAATGTACAAAAATTTGAATGTATATTCTATGGGCGATCTATGGGGTAATCTGAACATAAAATTGAAAAAATTGACCACGCCTACCCAATATTATAGTGCATCAAATTAAATTTTTTCTTCAGTACCCTCTTCAAAGCTCGTTAATTTCGGAATGTACCTAAACATGTTCGTCTGTTCATTTGTTCGTCCATCTGTCCAGCTGTTTGGTATGTGTGGTAAACATACTTCTAGACATAAAAGCTATCGCCTACAAATTTGCAAAGAATTTGAATATGAAACGACGACAACACTGTCAAGATCACATCAAAACCACCTTGTGCGGAGATGTTGATGTAAAGGTTCGACTCAACTCAACAACTCGTTTTTCTTTCAAAAATGGACCGAAATTGCCTGTAAATCTATTACAAAAATCTATTATATCGTTTATGTATGTATATGTTTAATAATTTATTGAACGTATTCCGCCTTTCACGACACAATCGTCGTGGATAGTGAACGATATTATCCAAACGATACCATAACGTATATATAAATTTTTTAAAGAATACCAGATATGAAAACGGCGGACCATTTTTCTATCGATAGAGAACTTTTAGAATTGTCCAAAGCGCAATCTATATATGAATGTATGTATGAATGTATGTATTTTCACAAATAAAGATATGAGATACTAACAAAAATATACTTTGCCCTCATTTTCAATATGTGTTTATAAATAATTGTCGATCTGTAATGCATTTATTACCTTAAGATACTATTGCATGAAAATAGTTTTACTCAATCAAAAGATGTACTCCCCCAGTCATTATATCATATACAATAATCTATGTAAATATTTATCTAAAAATTCGAGCTTTAAAGCGAACGCAATGTTCGCTTGCATATTATTGTCAGTAAATTAATTAAAACAGACTGTGCGTATATGATAATCAACCCTCGTATAATAGGCGGACAAGTTGGATTGGTGGTTACCTAAGGGTGGGATTATGTAAAAAAAAAAAAGAAAAGAAAAACAAAAAAAAAAAGGAGATATTGTGTCAGTGGTTATATTAATGGGGTGACTGTTAATACGAATAACGTATTAAACTTTTGTAATGCGAACCTGTTCAAGGTAAAACCTAATTATTAAATAAAGGCGGAGCTCTTACTGAATCATCCTACACTTAACGCTAAATTGCAATATTTTAAGTTTCTCCGATGGTCAGTATATCCATAGAGTCTAAAATGAATTGACTTGATTTGTATTACACATCTATTAAGGTGATATTATGTACTTATTATCTTAGGCATACTAGGCTTTCGAAACAAGTATACAAAACGTAACGTGAAATTCATAATTTGAATACGAATCGATCAGTTAACGATAAGTTAAAATATTCTTTTCTAAATTTAGAAAAGTTAGGCTCCATATATAAACAAGTAAGAACACTATAGTTCGACACGATCCACCTTACGGCAATTCGCTTATCGTAACTATGCATACAATGACTTTAAAAAATAAGCCATTTTCAATAGCATTCATCCGGGGATCATAGCACGTCACTATAGCAAATTTCCAACATAGCAAACTCTAACTTGAACGCACACGTATATGAAAAATTTTTAGACGGACAGACAAGTTTAGATCGATTCAGAAAATAATTCTAAATCTGATGCGGAATGGATACGCAAGTGGTGTAGGGTATAAATATAATTTATATCATAAAAAAACATCTATTAGCCATGATCGGGACATGAGTGTACACTAATCATATAATTCCGGGGTGGGGTATGCAGAAATGCGATTCAATGAATCCGTAAAATATATTATAAAGTAATGTTTATCGGGTCACTAACGCATATAAAATTAATAATGACTTTTCGTAATTTCTAAGAATGTGCTGATCATCGTTGTAAAACTCGTAAGGCCGAACGCTTATAACACTGAAAATTATTTTAAGGTTATCTGTCCGTCTGTCCGTCTGTCCATCTTGTTTTCTTGTATTTTGATAAAATTTTGGTACACCAACATGTTTTAGACAATGCACGAACGCTATTGAAAATTATTCATGTCGGATCATTTTTTCGATCCCTTTCTAAATAACGCCTTAGTTAGTGAAAAAGTCGTTATATGAATATTTGTAGGATTATGTAGGGTACTTTATATAGCAGCTTCCGGTTCACTATAGTGCTTTTGCTTGTTTTTATTCATTTTATACCTGAGTAAATTCCGGCAACCCGGACGCCATATACATTCGGCATTGATTACGCACACCGTTGCCAAATTTAAGCATACTCTGAAAACGCATTATCTGCAAACAGAAAGAATATCAATTTAAAGAAATGTGTCTGCAATAAAGCTCTCCACAAATTCTACTCCGATTCTATCAAATTTATATCGTAGCATTAACAAAAATTCTCGATCATAATTAATCATTGTAATTATAGTTATAGTTTGGATTTAAATCAAAAATTTTTTTTGTCTACATATATGCACTTCACTACTAACATATACGAGTTAAATATTAATCTAATATATCAAAAAAGAAACAAAATAATATTGGAGTTTTGGGCCTTAAAGGGTTAACGCGACGGGAGCGTAAGCCTAAGAGAAAGCATACGTACTTTTGATAGATTGTATACAATGGAACGCAAGTTAACAGACTAATAATATTCGCGGCAAGTTTTTAATATATATAGTTATATATGCTTAGTTAGGTATTTGCGATATCCATCAGTAATGAACTATTTGCAAAGAATTGTTTTCATATTCTCGCTCTGTCCGTTCGCCGCTCTTCCAGTCCACAATGCGATAGCCTGGCTACAAAATATTCTAAGGAGAATAACTTTTCTTTTACAACACTGTAATAAAATCACGGCATCCGAGAATCAATATTCGTGATTGCACATTTTTTCATCGTCAGTCCGGAGTCTAATGCAACAGCAACAATAAAGAAATGTCCAAAGTTTATGGATATGCATTAAAGGTCAACAAGTGACAACGTTTGTTCAAAATTTTCGCTGCTGGTGATAATGATGCCTTAAACAAGTCTCGAAGTGATATTGGCACGCTAACACCTGTAGTGTGCAAGAATTATAGCGAAGCCTTTGGTCCAACTGATCAAATATATATGGATGGCTGTGCCTACGTGAAATTGGAAAGAACTTTGGGAATCGCATCAGCAAATTTGAAAACGTTGTCTTCATTTATGCGACCAGGAGAGTGCCAACAACACACACCGCACAATCAATTTAGAATTTCACGCTTATCAAGAATAGTGGGTGTTACAGACGTAATGCAAAAAAAAAAAACAAAATGAGTATACCGCCATCCTTGAGTGGCAGGTATGATAATTTTCTAACAAGTCAAAGTACACTTAAATTCTAACTATACTAACTACTCAATACATATATATATATATATATATATACATCAAGCTTGATTCAATTTATTACTTATACAATACGATAGATGCAAAAAATTTTATTATTTATGCTCACTTTCTATTCATCAATTTCTAGATCCAATAAGACTGTGAGTATAATAATAGGCGGTCGGTCGTGAAAATAATCCTATCCATGTTTTGCAATTCACCCACAGAATGTTGAAGAACAATAGAAGTGCTCCATAACAAAGCCTAGCAGCAGCAACCAGATTAACCATTGGGTGTTAAAATATACCATGGCATTTACTTTACTTTAAGAACTGACGCCGAGATCATAAAGTGGATGATAGACCTCACGTACGAACACTAATCTCGCTTGGCGAAAATCACCAGATAGATACTTTTATAACAAACGAGACGTCTAATCGGCTATGTCTACTGTCCAAGCTAGGAAGATGGATAAGCTTAAGACGACTCTCATAAGGAGGCAACGGTACTGACGTGTTCAATTCCAAATCCCGCAAAGCAAAGTAAGCAAAAAAATATGTCTTGCACAGACTCAGACGCTGATAGACATAGCACGTGTAGTTCAGCGATAGTTCACACCATCACGGAACTCTCCTAGCAAAAGCCTCTTACTTACACAAGGGTCGTTAAATTCGCTTTTAAAGAAAATAAACTGCAGCAAAGTTTTCGCTTTGTCAACGGACACTGGGACCCATAATCTAAAGTGCAGTTTTGGATCGAGTATAGACCCTAAATTCATAAAGTACGAAATAGACACCGCCTTATGGGTACCAATATAATAGTTCCTAGCTAACGGAACTCCTCTAAAAAACTTTAATTTTTTTTAAATTAAGTGGTTCAGAATGCGGACGCTTGCTCTCTTCTCAGGTAATGAAATAGAGAAACAACTTAATGTCATCCACAAACATTAGCACATATTATAACATTGAACGCGGGATGATAAGTCATTAATAAATAAATTATAAACGAGCGAATTTAAATATCTCCTCAAATATATGACTTGTGTACAGACCGTGATGTAAAAGAATTAAACAACACACTTTTTGTGCGGCCAGCTAGATAGATAAAGATAACTAAATTAGTAGGAAAAGGTGTGCAATACAATTCGTATAAATGGAGTTTATAGACAACTCGATCAAACACATTAAATAGTCGACGTAAACAACATTACGTTGCCTTGCCTACCAAGAATTCTTTATATATATGGCAAATAAGTCCCAGTAAGTTCACCGAAGTTGATCTGCCATCTTGAGAGGGCGATCAGACATCAAATGAAAGTCGAAATCTATGGACTAAAAGAAGTTTAAATAGTTTAGGCAGAGCCCCCAGTTAATCAATCTCTCTATAATATTTGTCATTGTTTCTAGCTTCTAAGGGAATTAAAAACAACTCTTTCCACTGCTCGGGTAGGTATACTTTTCTAAGAGAGTAAAAGGAGTGTGTAAAATACTAGCATAATCCCTCAAGATACAAGATGATATACCATATGGATGAGAGCAATAAAATACTTTCAAGGCAGCCAAAGCTGCCGGGAAAATATCAAATCTATCTTAGGTGGCATATCCATTAGTTGCCTTATCCGTAACAGCATAGGACTGTACAAAAAAGTTGACGAGCATCTTACAAATTTCGGAAGGACAAGGACGGATGCAGTATTATTGAAGTCGATGAGGGAAGAGAACCCGGCCATAATTAATGAATTTGAAGAACATTTTCAGATGTCTAAGCATTATAACAACCTTTACTCAACTTCGTTCACAAAGCAAGCCAGTTTCCTTAGACCTGTTGAAATATCTGTTCCTCTTATTATGAATATCTGCTCGAGAACCAGGCAGCAGAACGCTCACCTGAAACGCATAAGATTTGAATAAATGCCAGGTTGAGATCCCTCAATGTCATCATAATCTAAATCTCAAAACACTAACCCACTACAAAGCCATTCATAATTAGTTTTCCGAGAGAAATATCGCCAGTTATCGTTCGTGTTAAAAGCAGAAAGTGACTTACATTCACAGCTCGACGAGATCAGCAAGTTTTTCAGTTACACTTCGCCTTTATTATGACATCAAAACGTAAAGTCAGACAAATCGATTTACGGAGCCGCATTCTGAGCAACATCATGGAGACAAAATATACCCTAAGCAGTATTCTCTAGTAAATCATTATGTTTACCACAAATGAAGTAAATATACATGAATTAGGTGAATGACATGGATGTGCGGCTTTTAGTTTGCATAAACACCTATAAGGCGCTATCAACTTGCATCAAGCGATATATCGCATTGTGTATTAAAAGCTCTGCGCTTGATCTTACACACACACAAACTTTGTACATACCAATGCGTCAATTAACGTAAAAGTGGTGAGTATTAAAAGTGCAACCCTTTCTTCTATTGCTCAGACTATTTTTCACAATGCTTTGATTGCGCGGAAAATAAACTTTCCATCTTCCATCTTTCTGTCTTCGAAACTCAGTCCTATCTTTTATCTTATGATAAATCGCACAACGAATGTAAATATGTAAATCTCTGCTACACACTAATGCTAAGCGTATGTTAGCAACCGATACACGCAGTATTTTATTAAGAAGAAAACCCTGAGAGATATTCTCAAGGGTTCATTAACAAACAACACGTACGAAATCTTAATATATATATATATATATATATATATATATATATTTTTGTTTTTTTTTTTATATTATTTTGAATTTTTATGCAATAATTTTAAATTACTTATTTTATAAAAACTATTTTCTTTTTTTTTGTAAATTTCAAAAGGAAAAAAATAAAAATACATCTTCTCTAACAGTTTGGTTGATGCGAAAACACTTATCAGCTGCGGCTTTCATAAAATGAAAAATAAACAAATCCAATACAAATACTTGTTTACATATAAAAATAAACATAATTCAATAAGAGGATGTTGTTGCCGTGATGCCGTCAATTTTTATCCTACCTTTTTTAATAATTTTATTACTTTTTTTTTACGTACTTTACTTAACTTAATGCGATCTCTTAAGGGACTAATATTAAATTATTATCAAAATTTTTCTTAAATCTTATCTTAATTGTACTCTCTTTCTCTCTCTCGAATAATTTTCATTTGATTACGTTCCGTCTATCTCTCTCGCTCTCCCCTCATCCCCCACCCCTCTCTCATTCAATCTCTTTCTCTTTCTTTTTCATTCAGTTTCTTTTAGAGTTACCAGAATTTTTAAATTCTTTTTAATTCTTTTTTAGTTATAATATTTAATGAAAACATTTCGTTGCCAGTTGCTAAGAATACACGATTTGTTTTGCACGTACTTCGAAAAGAAAAATGAAGAATGCGATACAAAATTGTGTCGATGCATGTTACGTTAATTTTTTTTTTTTATTTCCTCCGGATTACGTCATTTTCTAATTAGGATAAGCAGCCAAGAAGTATGGAAAAAAGAAATGCATTGTATGTAAAATTTATACTAAAATATCAAAAGTAGAATATTCTAAGGTTCTCTAGAACGAAACGAAAAACTTTGCAAAAATTTCATGAACAGAGAACAGTAAAAGTGGCACAACACAAACTTGTACAAATACAAATACGATGAGCTATCGAAGAAAATGAAAACAACTTTTCGAAATAAGGTGTTATATGGGAAGCAATGGGAAACAATGCCCCGACCTGAATCAATTTCTGCAGCAATCGTCCTTGGGTCAAAAAGTGTCAGTGAAGCGAATTTCATCAAAATATCTCAAAAATTGTGACCTATAGGCTGGACACAAGAAATCAGGACGGACATACAACCTTAGATCGATTCAGAAAGTGAATGTGAAGATGATTTTACATCAAGCGATATAATAAAAAAATGGTTGTCTCTCAAGCTTACTAGGGCTGTAAGATATAAAAAGACGAAATATAACGTTACAATGCTCGAGGAAATCCCGATACGAATGCATCCAAGTCGGTTTATAGATGTTAACACATTTTCAACAGACAAAAAATTACTATTAACTTGAAAACAATATAGAGATGGACTAAAGGTTCGGAAACGTTTCGGTCAATCTACATATAAAACCGTAATCAAATTAATGATCGATTCCACCAGTGATTCTGGCTTAAGTTTTATATGATAATCATTACGAAGCATATGACATAGATTCGTTAGTAGATGACACTCCACATATTTGATCCGTAATCGAATGGAACAACGATGGGAAATACAAGGAATACCAGAATTTCGCTACGCATGTATATAGACGAAATATTATATCGGAAATCGCTTCATACAGGATATATAAACTTTTTGCCCCTGCATACACATCTCGAACTATCGAGAGATTACGTCCCGCTTACTATTACTCCCTTAACGATTGCAAAATCAATCGTGAAATCGGGAAGTAAAAGTCAGTCTAAGTACTTCTTTACGCTCCAAACAGTTAATAAAAAATAATTTAGCTCGGCGACCCAAAGAAAGAAGAATACAAAAAATGTTACTTAAGGCTTGGCACTCTCTCTCTCTCATTACGTAAGGCGACCGCATAAAAATTACAAACTATTTCTTTAATTGAAACGACGTGCTCGCTGACCAATTACGGTCATCTTTACTGATGATCTGAATAGACTTCTATCAAAAGTTACTATCGGCCTATAATTTGCAACAATATGCAACAACCTTTTTTTCTTGTCTTTAATGTGGCAGACGTCACGTCCAGTTGCTAATTTTTCGTGCAAACAGACATAGCTGCACTGACCATAATTAGACGTGTACTTGTATATACCTTTGTCGCGTATATTTCGATATAACATGCCAACGAACAAATGTTTTACGCAAATATACCGTAAAGTCGACAGAACGAAGGTATTGCAGTTAGCCAAGACAAAGCATTTCGCTAATTATTACTCTTTATCAATCCGCCTTTATGCCGATGCATGCAAGCCTCAAAAAGGACTTATGATGGACTCATGTTTTATTGTATCAATCAATTTAGAATCATTTAAAAAATCGTTCTACCCATGTCAGTCCGTGCATCCGCGTGAGATATAATCGAAATTTAATATAGGAATATGATCGATCCATGCACCAATACTAATAAAAATCAATTGGATCGATAAATTTTTATGTCCCGCTTTAAAAAAAAATCGTTATATTAATAATATAAATATTATATATATATATATATATATAATAATACAAAACAATTTGCAATTTTTAAAACAATCTCACTGCAGCATAAATGGCGTAGGGTATAAATATATTTGCGACATTTTAGCATTTTATTACAATCACTACCACAATGATAATTTGAATAGTCATCGCATAGGATAGCATGTAGAGTAATTCACTTCAATTTTTCTTCATCGGAATGACGAAAGTAAAATATACTCCTTCGCGCGTTGGTCAAGAAAAAAAAAACAAATATGGAAACTAAGAGAGGCTAAAAAAATGAAAAGAATTCAATTTTCAGACGCTATAACATGGAATGGATGAGGTTGATATTTTTCCACTTTCAGAAAAATTTATATGGTTTAGGTGTTGTACTTTATGTTGTTGTATAGGTGTTGTACGCGTATCCTTTAACTTTGACTTGGGTCATTTTCAAACTGTTTGCAAACTTGTAGACGATATGTTCAGTTTTGCGGCCGGTAGAATGTTTACCACATTACTATAGATATTCCATAACAGACAGATGGACAGACGAACAGGCGGATATGCTTAAGTGCATACCGAATTTCAAACTGACAAGAATTTATATATTTTATGGGGTTTTTAAAACTTCAAGTTTTGAAAGAAAAATTAAATTTTGATGCACTATAATATTGATTACGGGGAGCGACAATTTTGCCCATTTTCCCATAGATAGCAAAGCGCCGCCCATTCAAAGTTTTGTGTATTTGTCCGCTGTACGTTATGAGTAATGAGCAGAAAACCCAAGGCCTTCTCATTTTACGTAGCATTGTATGTTTCTTCTTTCGATCGAATTTCGATTTTTGGCACCGATCTGTGTCCAAGAAGAACAGACGGACATGCTTAAACCCATTCGAAATTGGATGATGATCAAGAATAGGGATACTTTGCGGCATCTCTGAAGCTTCGCCATGGACGAAGGACATGTTCTGACAAAATCAATATATCGCTTATTTTTCAGTGATCGGTATAAGAGTGGTTGATCTTGACAAAGTTTCAGTGAAAACAGTTGCAAAATAAGTAAGAAAATTGTATTCAGTTGTGTGCGGTGAATTTTTTAAACTCACCATCTTTTGGAAATTTCTGTCGCTTTATCTGTAATGGCATGCGGGTAATGAGCAAAATCCCCATTTTTCTTATTTTTCTTTCATTTTAAATATATAGGTCTGTTCTATATTTATATGGCACTGTTTTGTATGCCCTTTTACCAATTTCGACCATTTTCCATAGTAAATTGCAAGCAAGAATTTTCTGTCAAATCTAAAGCGGATAACTACATATTTGGTACGTGGAAATCATTTACCGCAGGCATTACACAGATGGACAGACGGATATACTTAAAATGGGTTCGGAATAGTCTCTGAAATTTCCTTTGATAATAGGTATAAAAATATGAGGAGTGCAAAGGCTTAAGATGACTACAAGCGAATTTTTATCTTTTCATCAAACTCAAAAGGAAGCCCGGCATGCTTATAGGCAATCCATCAATTGTGAGAACTATATAAAATGTATATATAAAATACGCTATTCAAAAATTCCGTGGATTGGCAAGATATTAAATTCCAATTTTCCGCCTGTCAGTCTCTCTCTCTCTCTCTCTCTCTCTCTCTCTCTCTCTCTCTCTCTCTCTCTCTCTCTCTCTCTCTCCATCTGTGTGTGTGTGTCTCTGCCTCGTTTTCCCTACCTGTTCAATTTATTACAAAAAATCAATTATTTGTAATGTAGAGAGAGAAGAAAGTTTTCTAAGATCCCTTACTTTGCTAAGATAGTCAGAGATATTTTAATTTTCTATTTCTCTTACACGTGCATTACTGCATTTTCATTGCATGCAATAGAAAGAGATAGATAGCATATGTCCCGAAATGTCTTTTATTTCGTTATGTTAGTTATTACATTTGCAAATATTTTATTAATTTTTTGCTAACATATATCTCTTACCAACCTTATGATGTGAATAAAGAAATTTGAAAAGATTTTGTTATCAATAATTATTTTCTCTATGCCATGCGCACAAATATACAAATATTTTTCTTTAGAATGCCATTAAATTAAAATTTCTAATTGCATTGATATCCGCCATTGAATGTTTTTTTTTTTTTTGCTTTTAACACATCTGCAAATAAAACATATTATCACATGTATATATGTAAGCATGTATATAACTATATATGTTGGCTTTTGTAAATTTATATTCAAATAGATACCGAAATGAATATACACATATTAAATGATTTCCGTTAATGAGAGAAATCATTTCATATATTTTTGTTACTCCATGAATTCGCCTTAAATTCTTTTCCAAATGTTATAAAGCGGGATAGTAAGCAAGTTTTTCTCTACACTATGCCATAGTGTCATCTCTTTTTTTTTTTTTTCTTTTTATAAATAAAGGCGTTGCCTTACATTTGCTTAATAATTTAAAATGGCCGCAAAGCCTAAAGTGTTTTAGCGTCGGTTTTACATTTTAAAAATTTTTTTTTTTTTTTTTTATATATAAATCGATTCTTCAATATGCGAAATATGAACGATATAAGAAATTAAAATTGAAATGAATGAAATGTAATGAACATTATAACAAAGCATATTTGTTTTGCAAATAATGGGCCATTAAAGAAATTGAATAATTTGACTCAACATAATCAATAGGATAATGTAAGAAAAAAAAATATATAAATATATATATATATATATGTACGCATGACCGGAGAATCGAGATGTCCTAAATTTATCGTCCCGCCTGTAATACACAAAAATAATACAGCATTTATTTATGCCATACCTACCACCACAACATAAGATGGCGCTTGCTTTTGTAATACACAGATATATAAATTAGAAATTTACTTCTATTTTACTGCTACTTTACTATTGTGGCAAA